GAAGAGATGCCACTCTTGAAGGGCTATCAAGCCTTCACAGCTCCAAGGATGGCTGAGATCTGGCAAACCCCGGATACTAGCTATTAGCTCCGTTCACAGGACACAAGCAAACCCACAACTCAAAACACTCTTCAGCTTAGCCGGGGTGTGTGGACGTAGCCAGAGAGATTAGCTTCTGGCATAAGTGTGTCTGGCCAACCTTGTCCGTTGGGCTTTGCAGGACACGGCTCTTAAGCATGGGAAAGCATGTGGCGGGACGATGGCCAGAGAAAGCAGAGTCCGGGCTGTTTTAATTTTTGCACTCAGGAGGAATCGACCTGTGGCTGTTTGCAAAGCCAGCATGTGGGGGAGAGAGATTTTTGCCTGGTGAGCAACTATATTTTGCTTTCCACATTCTCCAGAGATTATGTAAAAGGGAAGCAGCAAAGCACACATCACCTTAGAAATGAGGGTGGCTCACTCAAACACACACAAACAAGCACACCACGTTGGGAGACTGCAACCATATATGGCAACTTCTAGCTGGCAAAAGCCATCCCCCCCACAGTTTGGACCCTCTCCGGGCAGGGCAGGGCAGGGCAGCTGGTTTGGGTTGGATATTTTTGGGAGAAAGAGGCGACTGGAGGCAAAGATCCCAGCTAAGAGAGACTCCTGTGTAAATATGTGATAAAGCATTCAAAGGTTTGCCTTGCACCAAGAAAAAGGAACCCCAGTTCTTAGGTTCCAGCATATAGAAATCCACGTGGGAAGTTTTGTTCTCTTGCAATTTGGGTCATACTTTTGTGACTTTTGTCCATCAGGGGACAGCCCAGCCTGTGCTTCTAGCTGAGAGTTGTGGGACTGGTCGTCCCCATGATGGGAAATGTTTGCATCCAAAGCCCACAAGGAATGGAAAGTTTTAATTTGCCAACCCATATTGGATAGCCTCAATGGTGTGAGATTTACAGCTGCAAGACAAAACAAGTGACTTTTTTTAAAAAAGTCCACTGATCAAGGAATAAATTAAGTTTAAAAACACATTTTCGTGTGGAGTGAAAAACCACGCAGACACATCAAATTCAAAGAAACGAACGTTTTTTATAGGCCCATGATTTCTTTCACAGTGCAAGTAACAATAAAAGACTTGAGTTATCATAAACCGAAAAGAACAGTGCAATTATTATGCTTAAGGATATCATTACAAGAATGCCACAACTACAGCAGTTAATATCATAAAAAGAGACAATTTAACAGTAAGTAGAGAACACTAGAACTTGACATACAGTGTCACCGATGCAGAAATTGAATCTTTACAGAAAACAGCGCATTTCGAGGGCAGTTGATTTTAAACCCACAGTTGGAGTCACAAGCTTATAAAAATCCCCACTGCTGTTTTTGAGGTCATGTAAGAACATGGCACTAGAGTCCCTGAAGAAATTAAGCACAAGGGAATTGCTTTCTTGCAGTATCGAAGAAAGAAACACACATTTATCAACGCCATATTCAATTCCTGGCAGGTCATTCTGGAGGAACCGCAGTGGGGATCTGCCATTGGTTCCAGTGTTGAAGGATTCTCCATTACTCACTGGCCATAAAACCTGGGATCCATCTCAACAGGAGAGTATTAATTCAATCAGCAATTGAAAACTATCACAGGCATTAGAGGTCTGGAGTGGTATGGCTGTTATTAATATGTCTTAACAGCAAACTTGCACAAAAAACTAGGAAGTGTATCATTATTATTATATTTAGAAAGAAAAATTCTCAAAGATGCAGAATTTCAGTCCTAGAGGGGTGGTTCGTCTGAAGATCAGGTGGCTTTTTCCCAAAGGAACTTGTAACAAATCTAGACTCTTAAGTGTATGGCTGCCATTAGATACAGTCAATGCATTCAGGCGTTCCCCTTAGGAGGGCACCTTCTCAAGAAGATGCGACAGGATGTCCTCCCCAATGGACCACCAGGAGCCACTGCTTGCCTTTTAAAACCAACAGTCTCTGCAGTGCTCAACTTTATAGGACCAAGCTGGCACTGCACAACCGCACTTGAGAATAAGGGAGGCACAACCAAAGAGTTGGGTGTGTGGGAGGGGGGGCATTTCCCTATTTTGTCCAGTTAAGGCAGCAAAGAAGGTTGATCACCTTGGGATCTAGGATCTTCCTAAACTTGTCAGCTCCACTTTTATTACATGCCGATAAGACACCAGATCTAGACTTACAATCCAAAATTGCAAGGGATCCTGTTTTATTTTTGATCTGGGCAAGTGGAAAAGCAAAGAAGGCCTCAGGCAGGACAAAATGGGGCCTTCCAGCCAGCATTTGAGGCTGCTGGGAACTGTAGTTCCACAACATCCGGAGGACGCGAGTTGTCTTAGTCATGATTTACAAAAAGAAACTTAACTGGTAGGAGTCTGCAAATCTTCCAAATTGGGGAGGACGGAGCAGAAGAGGGACCCACTATTTCAGGCAAATACGTTTCCTTGACTAAATTCTACGTTTTCTGCAAACTCCATGACTGATCAGGCTACACAAGATCGTTAGCTGTTGCTTAGAAACATTTGAAACCGAAGAGTTATCACTGTGCAAGTGATGTAAAAATCTTAACACATGAACATTTCTCATATTATTATTATTATTATTATTATTATTATTATTAGCAATTGTACTATTATTATTTTAACATCGGACATTAAGATACAGACATTATATAAAAGCACAACATGCATTCACATATATTTAATGATGTTCCTGCATAGCAGAAAGAAACAATAAAAATAAAAGACTTAATGTTACCAAATAAAGGAAGTCTGGGAGAGGAGAAGAAAAAAGACGTATTTTCCAGTGCAGTGAAATTTTACACTTTTCAAGCAAGCTGTGTCACTACAGAATTTATTTTATTATTTATTTATTATTTTAATTTGTATACCGCCCTTCTCCCATAGGACTCAGGGCGGTTCACAGCATATTAAAAACTCTTGAAAAAGATGGATGGGACACGATGAAAGCAGAATGGAACTAAGGGAAAAGAAACAGACCCCACCATTCCTGGGCGAGTCCACAAAATTGTTCAGACCTAAAACTTTTGGAAAACGAAAAATAATCTGTTTTCATGGCTGAAATGGAATCAATTCCTTGCTGAACCAGAAGAATCACTTAGAGGCTAAATTCCAGCACAGACAATCTTAAGGTTTAAAAGGGTGAAGCAAGTTTTTCTGTTCTGGGGAAAAAATCTCAACCCAAATATTTTTGTTAAAGATAATGAAAAATGCCACATGTGCAAAGTTATATTTTATATGTTGAAGTGCTGAATGTCTACAACTAGCCAGCCTGTTTCCAGGGCAAAATGGTCACAAAATTCCACAATTTTGGAGCATGTTTTCCCACCTTAGTTAGAGGAAAACAAGCCTGGGTATACGACATTTATTTTAGAATGAGAAATTTCTCTGGTGATTGAACGAATAGCCAAAGGGAAACTATATTCTGCTTGCAGGTCGTGCTAATCTAAAAGAAACCCATTTTTAAAACAGGATTAAAAAAACAGGGATTGTTAGTAGCTAGAATAAAACAGGGCATTAAAAAAGTATTTGAAAATTCTAAAATAAGAGTTGGCTTCACGTGTTTTCTGCTTAAGAGAGCAATGAGCTTAAGTCTGTAACAGTACCAGATCTGCCACTGAGGTAAGCCTGGAAAAGCTGCACTGAAAATTCTTGACTTCTCATTGCTACTGAAACAGAAAGAGGAAAAAACTGAATAAACTGAATATAAAAATCAGCAGGTTGTTCAGAGCTTTCTTAGGCAAAGAAAAAAAAAACACCAAGACATTGGACTTCATCGGCATTTTTCTCACTGAATTGTAAATGAGATAGAAAACTTTTTTTTTCAAATATAGACACACACACATGCAACCAATACCAAACAGTGCAACTATACAAATGGACGGATGTTCCAAAACATCTTAAAAAAAAAAAAACACCTGTAAAATCTCTACCTCCATCTTTTGAACAGTGCTACTGCTCCAGCTGTTGTTTGCAAATATGCACCCGTTAGAAAAAGATTCTGTCCCCCCCCTTCCCCCCAGGGCTCAGCCACTAGACTAGAAGCTCAAAACTAATTCAGCCATTTCTGGGTACCTCCCACCTGCCCAGGAAGCAGTGCGCTAATTCTCTGCGTGAAAGTAACAACCCGGTAGCTGTTTCAGTACTCCGTAATTCAGTTCCTCATCATAACGCGATGGGATAAGGCAAGAGAAAAATTAAAACTAAAATAATGATAAAACCTCCACCTTCAGCGTCACCAACCTCAGAAGACCACCTTCTCTCTTGGGACAACCAAGGAGGTCGTTCCACTTAACACACACAACTTGCCAAGTCAGAAGCTTGTCTGTCCACAGCATCCACCGTCTGGCTAATTCTCCCTTCAGCGTGTGGACGGCCAGATGGCCAAACCAGAAGCCCTCTGGGCAACTCTCTCCAAATCTGTCCAACATCCAGAAGACGTTCTTCAAAATAAAACGTGAAGATTTCAAGCAATCCTCTTCAGCTATTTTAGATCTTCTGCCTACTGCAGCTTGGCCACCTCGTCTTAGCTCCCCACTGCTCAATCTTACTCCCCCCTTCCTTTCCTGGCATCAGTGAAGTGGGCACTGAATGGTCAAAACCCAACAAAAAAACACAGAATTCTACAGAACCGGAAGGACGGCTGCAAAGTTGCTCTCTCCTTTCCCGCGGCCATCAGAGCACAATTGCATCTAAAACACAATTGCATCTAAAATTGCTATTCAGTGCAAGTCCATCGTTTTCACACGGTCGTTTCTAAGTGCACAAAATCAACAGCTCCCTCCCGGAGAACTGCCTTGCACAGATAGCAGTTGTTTCTCCTGACACCATATAAATAAATCCTATTTATACAGCTGAGATGTTCTGAGACATGCAGTAGGTTTTTTGGGTCGTAGATAGCCAGGTTTTCTTCACCATCATCTGCGGATTTTGTTGTTGTTGTTGTTCCTCTTTCTTAGGCTACCTGTCGTGTCAAGACACCGATCTTAGGCTGGGCCATGGCGAGCGTTGTCAACCACGCCGGAAGGAGGCTCGGAGTCGTCCATGGGAAGAACGAGGCGGGTCCCCCGGATGACAAGTTCATGGTCTCCAAAGCCCAGCTCCTGGTCTAGCATGTCCTCGGAACCATTTCCAGCAACCCGTCTTGAGGCGCCCGATGGCAGCGAATCAGAGTTCCCGCTGGAATCCCCGTACGTCAAGCTGATGTCTCCGTCATTCAAAATCAGATCTGAATCATCATCTTTCAGCTGCTCTTGATTCTGAGGAGGAGGAGGAAGAAGAGGAGGAAGGGAACGGAGAAGTGAGGAGAAAGAGAGGAGGCGGGAGAGACAGAAGAGTGAGAGAGGAGACGGGAAGGAGGAAGGGAAGGGAGGAGAGATCAATTCACGGCTTTATTAAACAGCAGACGTCCAAAGAGGCTTCAATAAAAAAACCGGGCAACTCCTTAGTGTCTACAACCACATTCCCTACCTACTTCTTGGCAAGACGGGGCCACAGCCAATGGGGTGGCATTGTGGGGGGGGGAGATGTTTATTTTGAGAAACAGTTTGGGGGCCCTTTCAATTATGGAAAGCCTACCTTTCAATTCAACACTCCACTTTTTGGGGGTGCTGCTCATTCAGAAGCACTATGGTGGAGGATGAATCCAGGAGAGCCTCGAGAGCTTTGAGGCAGGAAATGGACTAATCCATCAAGAAGGAAAAAGCCCACCCCGCCTTCCAACAGAGTCCTTGGAAAAGGACAACCCAAACCACGTCCTCACCACTTGCCCACCCCCCGAGGCCCTTCCCTCCTTTCCTAGATGCCAGCTCTCCAACTCCACGCACAGATTGTCCAGCCCTGTTTTAGAAAAGGTTTCGTCCGTCTCACCTCGGCAACGGTGAGCATGCCAAGATGAAGGCACTGGGTGGACCACAGGAGGCCCGTCATGCTATTTGGGGAGGGGAAGGGGAAGTCCTGGACTTACCTCGTAAGCCTGCGGACTCGTCAAACACCGTGCAATGGGCCCACAGCAACTGGGGAGGGTGGTGGTCAGGGGGGGACCACTGTGCGTCAGGAGAGGTTTTAAGTAGCTGAGAAGGGCTTTGGTTAAGGCAAAGGAAGCGTCTCTCTTTTCAGAATTAGCACATTTTTATCCAAAGCCAACATACTTACATGGTTTTTCTAGCTCTAACTCTGCTATGAAAGGTACCCAACGCAACAGAAGTAACAAACTCTATTACAAACTGCAAAAGGATTTCTTAAAGCTTTTGCCAGCATCTTCCTTGCCGCACAAACGCTACATCCGTGCCGGCTCAGGAATTCTGGGAGTTGAAGTCTATATCGGCCGTAAAACTACCACAGTTGCTGCTATAAGGGCTGAGCAGTTGAGCAGCGATCACTTTCCCGTACGGCAGTGGTTCTCAAGCTTTTCTTCATCACGGACCCCCCAAGACCTAACTTTTGTGGCCGTGGACTCCCAAGACTTAACTCAAGATTTAAATCATAACATTTCTTCAAGCCTTCGCGGACACCCTATGACGACATTGTGGGCCCCCCAGGGGTGGCTGGACCACAGGTTGAGAACCACTACGACACAGGATTCCTCTACGCGTGGTTGCAGATTTCCTCCCCTGTTTTCCTACATTAAGTCATCACAACTACTACTACAGTTTTGGCCAACTGTTCGTTCTCTTCTGCTGTAACTCACGGAGCGAGAAGCAGGTCTGGCCCACCTTCATTCTAAGAAAAAAAAGCCGTTTTCAGGAGTTGGAGGAGAATTCTTTGGCCCTGAAATTATACCTTTCTCGGTATAAGTTTTGGTTTCAGGTTTCTCAAAGGTTTGTTGCTAGTGGCACGGCTTCGGTCACTTCTGGTCACAGCGGAGAGCTGGCCTGGTGACAAAACCTGGGGAGGGGGGCACATACAGAGAATGGCAGTAAACTAAAATAATCTTCTGCCCCTCCTGGCATGGGACATACAACAGATATATAGTTCTGCATTTCTTGGGGCTGAGCCCAGATAAATGGCCACACGAGAGACAAGAATGCACAGCTGAGGAAGGAAAGGCGCTTAGGCCCACTCCCCAGGCAGCAGTTGCTCCTTGCAGATGCAGGGCCTGGGGTCCAGGACCACCCCCAGGTCTCTGGGAAGGATACTTATGGTCGAAGTTGTACCAGACTCGGAACAGCCAGGCGCTCTCAGCCCGGGTGCTTCGCCCCTCGTTTTCTGCCTCGACCTGGAAAAGAAGAAACACACCCGGATCGTAGTGGGGTGTGGAGGAGGAGAGCCACCACCAATCTTTATTTTCTGTGTTCCGTTGTTTATTATTTGATGTTTGTAATCTGGAATTGCGTTAATCAAAAATCGGGAGGATTTTAAAGATCTGTAGCGCTTCCACAAAGTTCCGGCCGAATCCTGGCATCAGGACCCAAGGGAGGCCTGCCCAGGCTGGTCAGCAATGAGACCTTGAAAGCAGCTGGTGAGCCAGAAGGCGAACAATGCCTCAAGGGTGACCCTAATCACTGAGGCCTTGGAAATTCTGACTAAACAGCCGCAAGAGTGTGGGAGCGATGATGGGAGAGAGGAGGACTTACCACATTGTCTTGGTCAGCATCTACACCAACCCTGCAGAGAAGAACACACAAGGACTATTACTCTCCCCATTCAGACTGGGGATAGCCCAGAGGCACACAAACCCTCACCCCAAAGGCTTGAGATGTGTTCCTCTACGTACGATCATTCGCCCTTCGTGCCAAAGTTAACAGGCGGGTTGAAATGCACAAAAATGTGCATTTCTCAGATGTTGGGAAAGGTGGGAGGAAAGAGGAGAAGGGGGATGACCAGCAGGAAAGTGGAGGACCCAGTTTCAGCGGTGATGGGGGCACCATTGGAGGACCTAAAGGACCAGGCTGTGGACAAGTCAACTTGAAGAAAATCTAGGTGGTTGCTAAGAATCGACCCTGACTTGATGGAACATCATCAGTCCACCTCTTCTCAATCTGAAGAGAGACTGTGGAGCACAAGTGGATGAATATGAGTCTTGGGAGGCTGGTGCGGTTTATTCCTGCCCGGCTGCTATCCTCATGCTCCTCATCCAGAGCCAAGCTGACACCCAGTGGCAAAGAGGATCCTTTTCACAACTGGATGTGGCTCCACTCAGCTAGCAACTGGTTCTCTCTTTCACACCGGGGCAAAAAACACACTTGCAATTCGGTCAGCACCACCCTTATCCCGAAAAGACACAAACCGACGTGCTCAAAGGCCTCCATTGCAATTATCCAGAAAGTGGCTTTGAGGCCAAGCGCGGCTCTTTTAAAACTCACCACGCACAGGATGTCATCCCCCCCCCAAACTGAGCAATTCTGCTTGCAGCTGAGGAAGGAGGGGGGAGGGTCTACTCACCGAATGTGCAGGCACGAAAGCATCGCGGTGGTGCCACCACCAAACACCCAGACGGTGAAAAAGACAATCAGCAGAGTCGTACTGAACATCACCTGCCGCGCATAGGTGGCTGTGTCCCGGATGGCCAAGGCAAACGCCATGGCTCCCCGCAGGCCTGAGAGAGAGAAAGGGGCATGAAGTTTCCTAAACCTGGCCGGCTTTCTAGTCCAGGGGTCCCCAAGCCTGGCCTGGTCCTTTGGGAACCAGGCTGTGCACGCGTGTGCTCACATGTGCAGCTCCCATTTGCACGAGTGCCAGGTCCATGTGAAGCATTAATAAGCAAGGCAGTTGAGAGGTCGTAAAATACACTCATAGCCTGTTCTATGCTTATTGGCTACAGCTAAGCCTTTATGTGGGATTGAAGCTTTCTGCAAGTCATTTCCTTGTCTTTCAAGTAGCCACCATGTCTCCTCAGGCTCCATAACCTCATCGGTTTGTTTTCTGAAGGCATTTTTTTTTTTTTTAGCCTGATAAGAAATATTTCCATGCCCCCCCCCCTTCACTCCAATAACATCTTAAAAACTGGAAGGGTCCCATTCTTCCTCTCTGTAGTAGCTGCCTTTCCTTCTTTCAAGTCAAGCGGGCAATTATTTATGGCAACCGGGTTCAAAAGGAGCTCCAGGGCCACTCACCAGCAAACATCATCATATGCTGAAAGTTTGTCCCAATCTTGTTTCGCCTCCCCAGGTTAAGCAGGAAAGAGAGGGGATAGATGTTTGCCGCTCTTCCCAGGAATACCGCCAGCTAGATACGGGGCTGCATTAAGGAAATTATTTTCTGATAGAAGAGAATTATTTGTGAGCTCAGGGTTGAACTTGGGGGTGTGTGTGTGTCCTTGATGTTCTCTGAGCTGGGTGGTTTTCTTGCAGACGTTTCATGACCCGACTAGGTAACATCATCAGTGCTAGAAGGGAGCTGGGTTTGCTCTCTATATACATGCAGTCCCTTCTAGCACTGATGATGTAAGTTCCCTCCTCTCTCTTTTTTTTTTTTAAAGAAAAAAGGATACAAAAGCCCCAACCACAAAGGTTGGATTAAAGACGTGGTTCTGGAACGTGAACAGCGTCAGCCCCATGTAGGAAAAGATGAAGTTCTCCGCCAAGAAGTTGAGAAGCTCAAACAACTAAAATATTGGACAGGAGAAGATAGCAACGATAGCATGGCCCATTTATTTAAATGATAGGGAATTCCTCAAAGCATGGACAGCACAAAATATAGAAGCCAGCGTTACATTTATTAGATTTATAAGGGGGGGGGGACAGTGGGCAACTTTTAAAAAATTATTGCCCTGCATTGAGGAGGGTGTCTCTCCCTGGCCATTCTGGCCCACGGCCTCACCTGTTTTGTCCTCTGCTGTGACTCTGTGGACAAGTTGTTGTAAGTATAGTGAGCTTGAGTGATGCCACAGAACAAAACCGCCACCACACCTGGGGACAAAATGCTGTATTAATAAGGTAGCCTGCAGCACCAAAGCCCATCTCCAGTTTTTCATCAACACAGAACCCTTTTATTACGGTTTAGCCTGATAGGGGAGTGCTGAACCTGCAATAAACCAAATTTTAGGGCTTGAAGTTAGTTTCCAGTCTGACTTGAACAAACAACAAAAAGTTGGCAGGTTGCGTGGGTCCAGCCAGAGACACCCACCTGCTTGTTAGTTACGCAGAATACTTCTTCCTACAGATGAAAGCAATCAGCCCCAACAGGTTGATAAGGACACTGCTCCATGTTGCATAAGCAGCTCCTCCCAGGACACCCCTCTCTCCAGCCAGAAAGCACCCCGCCCGCCCGCCCTGGAGACGCCTCAAGAGAAAACTGGAGGGGCTGAAGACCACAAGCTACAGTCGGATCCCAGACCCTCGGCTCCCCTGGCTGAACTGTCCCCGGGGGTTTGGGGAGGGGTGTGGGGCTGGTCTTTCCAGCATCAGAGAAATGGGCTGACTGCCACACTGGCAAGGATTTAAACCTCATGGCACTCTGGGAAGTGCCCTGGCACAGCTCCACTCAGGCGGTACAAGGAAGAAGCACATCCCCCCTTACCGGTAAAACCACATGCTTCAGCCAACAGGAAGGTACTCCAGGACATCAGGAAAAACAAGCCTGTTTCCAACAGGTGGAACTCGTGAAGTTTGGTAAACTTGGTGACGTGAAGCTGGAAGCAGTTAAGGGAGAAATCCCCAGAGGTTTCTGCAGATTTTAAAAAACATACCCCAACAAAATGACAGCAATTTCTCAGAGAGACTGTTAGCGTGTCCCCCAATAAGGGAAAGACATGAACCAAGCAAACTCAGGGGTCAAGTAAGTGCATCAGAAAATCTATGGCTTGTCAAATAAGGGCTTTTGGGCTTTGATGCTATAAGCTTGCAATCTAGGGGGGAAGACTTCGTCTTGTTGATCCCTGTGGCCTGTTCTTGAAATGTTTCCACCCTTTGCATTCAAAGTGGTTTGGCACTCTTTGACTTAATTAGCCCTTAATTAAATCACTTGACAATGAAGAAAGCCTTGTAAACCCAGTAAGCAAATACATTTTGATAGGGTGCTTCTGACTGGCTGAAATGGATATAATGAGTAAAAAAAAAAAAAAAGGTTTCTACAGTTTGGATGTTTGTGGCCAGTCTAGTTTATGATAAATAGTTAGAGCTTTAAGTCTGTTCTGAGGAAAAGCAGCATATTAATAATAAGCAACAAACAAATAAATAAAATTTGAGTTATATTACTGACAAACTAGTCCAGAACTTTGAATTATTTCATGGGGAACAAACCGGAAGACCCCTCCTCACTCTGCAGATTTTTATACTGGCAAACCTTCTCGCTCAGAGACAAAAAATTGTCAACGGACAAAGCAAGGATATCAGAGCAGTCACGACACCCGTAGCGGCCCCCATGGCAAATGATCCGCTGAAAATCCCAAGGAAAATCCCGATGGATTTGAACATGGCTGTAACATCAAACGTGTGGCTGTTGTATCCTGCAGGCTGGTAGGCAATGATTGAACTGTGGGAAACACAGAAGGCAGACTCCTTAGTGCTTTGCTAGGTCTTCCACAGATTGCAGGAGTCAAACATTCTTCTTCTTCCTACCTGGGAGAAATGTTCTACCTAATAGCAATAACGCTTAGACTTGTATACCGCTTCATAGTGCTTTAAAGCCCTCTCTAAGCAGAGTCAGCCTATGGCCCCCAAGAATCTGGGTCCTCATTTTACCGACCTCGGAAGGACGGAAGGTTGAGTCAACCTTGAGCTGGTGAGAATCGAACTGCTGGCAGTGGGCAGAATTAGCCTGCAATACTGCATTCCAAGCACTGCGCCACCACCATCAGAAGATGGAGGACAATTACACTGGGCAGAGCTGAAACCACAACGTGCTCCCATTCTAACGTTCAGTCCTCCTCATGACAAAAGATGGACTTAGTCACGCTTCTCCTCAAGTTCAGTTGAGGTTATCAATGCTTCTTCGGTAACTCATAACGATGGCTCTATGGCCAAATAGGGACCTACGTCAATTGCCCTCCGTCATTTCGTTAGTTCTAGACGCTCCGGGGATCACTTTCTACAAGGCACAACCGCTTTGCAGACGCTCCCTAACTTGAGCTGCCTCTGCCAGGGAGGGTGGTGGACGAAAGACACACACAACTTACGAACACAGCACAATGGCCACCGCATCGTTGAGGACACTCTCTCCAAAGAGAAGGGCATAGAGCTCAACATCCACTTGAAGTTCATGGAATATGGCGAGGACCGTCACTAGCCAAGAAAAAAAAGACAAAGAATTTGCTAGAATCCCGAGCTGGCCTACTGTATTATTACCTGGCAACATCTCAATCTTCAAAATATGGCAGAGACGCAAACACCCATCTAGAAAGGCCCACAAATGCTTATAGGACAGTCCACCCCAGGTCATCCATAGGATACTTTGCATGGATGCCTCCATAAAAGTCTTTTGATACAGAGTTCATGGCATAAATTGAAGAGTTGAAAGAAGGCTGTTCCTTATTATAGCTTGAGGGGTTCAAACTTACTCAGGAATCTTAACGAGATTCCTTTAAGACATAAAAGGCCATTACTGTCTCATTCTAGATGGGATGGGAGATCCCTGCTAGATCAATATCCTTTCAAGAAGCTCAGAGATACAGGCATACAATTCTCTCCCAATGTTCTCCCCTTTTTCTTGTGAAATAAGGCTGAATCTGCTTGGACTCCAAGATTACTAACATCTTTTTTATCTGCTCGTGGGCTTTTGCTGGGCATCCAGCTATGCACCTGATCTGATCCAGCAAGGTGGATCTTGCTATATTCCTCCACTTCTGCAGGGCACAAAGAAGCCAAAGCAAGAAAAAATCAAACTCAGTTGCCAAGGGCATTTTTGAGGAGGGTCCCTGGTTCCTGCCCACAACCTACCAGGATCTGTAGCGGAGGCAATGGCCCCAAAAAACAGGCAGTCGGTAAAATAGAACTCTCCTCCAAGCTGCCCCATCACTTTCATCAGCGCAACACAGCCGTACATGATGGATCTGTTGAACACAGGAAGTTGGCAAGTTGGCATCACTGTCACCATGGCAAGCTGTATTCTTCATTTATTTAAGAGACTCAGGCAGCCTTGTGCAAGTCACTTTCTTGCACCTGCCCTTGGCAGCCCATGAGTTTCTGGGAAGCACATATGGGTCCAGTCCTAATAAACACAGCCTTCTACTGGGCTCAGGTGTTCTCTCCTCCCCCAGATGCAGCTGGGAGGGGTTAATTCCACATTTTCTTCAGCCATCATATCACGGCATCTAAATCCAGGCACGCTTTAATCTTCAATATAGAGTTCATGCAGAGTTGGAAGAAGGGAACTTGGAGGTCTTCTAGTCCAACCTCCTGCTCAAGCAGGAGATCCTATACCATTTCAGACAAATGGCTGTCCAATCTCTGCTTAAAAACCTAGATGGAGCCACTTCAAAGTGGTTTACAACGGTGATTGGTTTGAACCATCACGATTAAGATTAATCAATCATAGTTCATTAATGTTTTAAATTGTATGCAATCTACGATGGCCTGGGCGCAATGGACAAGAACGGGGAATTGGGCTTGTTTATCAACATATCCAAACCAGCCTGGAATTGTTAGCTTCTCATTTTTAAAAATGCAGAAGGCCTTGCCTTGCTCTTGTCCATTTTGTTGCGATTTATGCTGTGCCTATTTTAATTGCCGCTTTAATGCCTTATTGCTGTCATGGTTTTAACCTCTGGCATTGCAGCTGCTCACAGAGCACTGTTTATTAGATAATATGCAAAGGATGTAAACAACGAATATTTTTAGAAGCAGAAGGGGTAAAGGAGGGAGGGGCAGGAATTCTCACCCTATCACAAAACAGGAAATTGCTGTTCCAAGAAATGCATATGCTAAAATGGATCCAAGGTTTCGGAAGAAGTGACGCTTGAAAAGAAAAGAGAGAGAGAGAGAGAGAGGAGAGACTTCGGTTACTTTAAATGCTAGGAATGGCTGAGCTAGAATGACCTGGCCATTTTTGTCAAAGTCCCACCGAACCCTCCCTACACATACAATTATTTCAGGCAAAAAGCAAATAACAAGACAATAAGCTTATCTCTCTAGCACTTAAAATGCCTTTCCAACTAAAATGTTTTACAAGCATTACAATTACCCATTTTTTCCCCTAACATGGGGAAAAATCCACATTAGGACAGACAGCGCTGCCTGTAGGCACTTGGTGTCTGGTTACAAATTACTGATTTTGGAAAGATCAGAGGCACATTTCCTCTGAAAAAAACATTTCACAACGTACTATTTCTTTATTATCCAAATTTATCTTTGTGGCAAAAGTTCTGTTCTGGTTATAGGAGAGGGCAATTAAAGGTTTGGATTGCAAGGGATAGACTTTGCTTTTTGGATTTATTTTATTTTGTATACATGCACTGGATTACATTATAGCGGTAGTGGATGGAAGAGATTGTTTCCCCTGTTTCAAGCTGTGGCATAGTAGAATCTTAAGGCATCAAATCCAACAGAAAAACCAGCTGAGTTCATCCAAAACAGACTGAAGTTGTCGTCAATGACAACAACAGAGCAGCAGGTGGGCAATGTCTGCTTTATGTTCTTCTCAACATACGCTGCTGCCCCAGATATTTTAAAGAGGATTAGAAGGAACAGATACCTACCCGTTTTAAGCTATATCCAGCGTAAAATATAATTGGAGGGAGCAAGATATTAAAGAACACTTCAGGATCAAAAGTTACCTGTAGGATATGAAAAGAGAGAAAGAATGAAAACATCACAAAAGATCCAACTTCAATGGGTGCAGAGTAAAACTTATCATTTGGCGAAGTGCATTTTTTGTTAAAAACAAGAACTGTACCACAGTTTTAGCACAACAGTTCTGCAGCCCGGAGTTTTCAACTTCCCCTTCCAGAATCAAAACAGCACAGCACTGTGTTGGCAGTCACTGCAGTGCGGGTCTGGGATGTACAACACAGCAGAGTAATGTAATATGTCTGCCCCGAAGAGATCTGATGAATATGGGAAGGAAGCTACAGGACTAGAGTGAGTGTGCCTCGCCATACTTTTGAACAATTATAAATGGCTGACTGCACACAACAGTTTGCCTCTTCCAAAGGCAAGACCCACCCAAACTGGCAAGTTGCAGCCCAGCAATTCACATTTAGACTTGCAAAGCAAGGTGTGAAGCTAGCCATTAAGGCAGTGTTTCTCAACCTTGACAATTTTAAGGAATGTGGACTTCAACTCCCACAATTCCACAGCCAGCAATGCTGGCTGTGGAATTCTGGGAGTTGAAGTCCACATGCCTTAAAATTGTCAAGGTTGAGAAACACTGCATTAAGGGATTTCTTGAGCATGCAAAGCTGAGAACTTTGAGGAACAGCCATCAGCCCAGAGAAGAACCAGGAGAGATGCCTTCAAAAACTCTGCAGCTTTTTCCCTTTTTCTTTTCCAGACTCCTCTAGAAACCTGGGGCAAAGCTAAGGCAGGACTGTGAATTTCGATCATATTTTCCTAGAACCTTTGATCTAAAAAAAGGGGGGGAAAGTGAAGTGGAAAGGATCAGAGCTTACCTTCCGCAGCATCTCATTATCTTGAACACTATTGAGTTCATGGGAACTGATCTCCCCCTTCAGGGTGTACTCATAAAACTTCCCACTCAGGTTGACCAGCAAAGTAGCAGGGTTTGTTTGCATTGGGCAGCTTAAAGTCACGTTGTTGATATCGCCGGGAATGTGGATGCCGTAGCGAAGAATGACCCCCACCAGAACTCCTGTAAGAAACACAGAGGACTTCAGGTTTGCTAGAGACCTAGAGCAACCCTGAGAGGCTCAGAGTTCAGATCTATACATTCTCAGCGCCCTCTTTCACCAACTGTCAGAAGAACTCCTCCAGCAAAATTGAAACAGAATATGTTTCAGAGTCAAGTAGTGCCTCAATGGAATAAATTCAGTACCCCAAATCATGCAAAGCGTCATCAAAATATTTCAGAATTACAGAGCTTGTGCTGAACACACCAGCATGACTTGGGCCCTGAGTGTTTCCTAGATGCTTTCGTGCAGAACCGCTGGAACAGAATGGCAGCGATGAGAGTAGGAACAGGAGAAAAGGTAGAAGGTTCAGCACCCAAGTGAATTGTGCTGCATAAATCAGACCATACAGATATGAAGGAGCCCGAGAGACCATCCAATCCAACTCCCGTTCATTGAAAAATATATATATTACTACAACTCTAAGGCAACTTAAAATAACCGCGTTCTCTTCAGTCAGTTTGAGAAGAGCAGCCGATAAATTTAAACTTGAAACTTTTCCTTTATGTCTGTTGAGCAATTGGCAGTTTCACTGAAGCTTTTATGCTCCGTAGTTTCCCAACACTGTTCCTAAGATCAGCTTCAGTTAAGAAAAAATGGCAGTGGATCTCTTGAGCAATTTCAAAAATTTGCCAAGACGCGTCGCAGCAAAAAATCCAAAATGTGTCCCTGTATTACAGGGATCTGCCATGCTGAAGAAAAACAACAACACCTTTTTGGCCAGGATAATCTAGACTCTTGGATTCAAATAGCTAATAGCGAATCAATAACACAATGGTCTAGTTCACACAACAGACTCCAAAATTTGTTGGCGTATTTAGTGGTTTCCATGCTATCAACACATTAGCTGCTCACTGTCATAGATTTGCTTTTTTTAGAGTTATTGTATTGCATGCTGGTCTTTTATTGTGTTTGGTCTTGGACAGTAAATAATTTTTGATCCACTGATATTTGGTAATATATTTAACTAAAAACCAAGCCTTAGCAACTGATATAAACACAGCAACTGAATAGTTTTTGGAAATATATCCTATTAATAAAACATGCTTAAATTTGAGAGAAAGAGGATTGTTACTGTCAAGCATTGGGAGTTTTGCACATTAGAGCCTCGATCTCAAATCTTCCCTGAAAAAGCTCTGGTTTGGATGGAGGGTGTCCGCTCTGTGGTTCTTTTCAGACAATTCTTGCCGGCACCACGCTGGACTTGTAAGTCCCCCTGGCCATGCTGGCTGGGGATTATGGGAGAAGAAATACAAAACGTCTAAGAGTGGCAATAAATCGAGAGATTTTAATAGTGTCAGGTTTATGAAGTCCATTGGGCAGCCGATAAATTTAAAATAATAAGCATTCACCCCTTTAACAGATCAGGCTCTCCCAAGGGGGCTTTTATAGCCCCCCCCCAGACTAAACGAAGAAAGGATGGGTTAATGGGCGAAATCCGCGCCTTTCTTGCCTGGGGAGGGAAGGACGAAAAGCAAAAGCTGCAGAACATTTTCCACCCCAATTTCACACCAGACCCCGAGGTGATGCGAGGTTGGGGTTCAGCCCCGCCTTCCCCAACTGAGCCGGGCCCACCCCTCTCGGCTCCCCAAATTCTCCCTGGGGGGATCTCTGGGAATCCCCCCCCAAACCTCCCCCTTTTTATGCTGATGCTGATCCTCCCTCCCTCCCTCCCCTCAGCAACACCGGGGACCCCCTCAGCAAACGGGCCGGGCGGGGGGGACAGCATGCGAAGGGTCCTCGGGACCGGCGGCGGGGGATGATGGGCTCTGTTGTTGCTGCTGCTGCTGCTGCTGCTCACCGTAGATCATGGCCAGCCCGGTCTCGTGCAGGAAGCGGGCGCGGCGGTGCTTGAAGAGCCAGATGGTGAGGATGGTGAGGGTCAGCAGCAGGATGAAGACCAGCAGGTTGGCGCTGTCCTGGCGGTGGCTGGCCTCCGCCGCCTTCTCGGCCACCAGCTCTTCCTCCAGCGCGCCCGGATGCCGCCCGCCCGCCCCGCCGGGGCCCGGCTCCAGGCCCAGCGCCAGCAGCAGCAGCGCCGCCATGGCTGCCACCGCCGCCGCCTCCGCCGCCTCCTCGCGCCCGGCTCAGCGGATCAGACGCCCATCGGCAGCCCCGGCCCAGCGCCGCGCACCTGACGTCATCGCGGCGCGCCGAGCGACGCGGGGGCGGCGGCTCCTCCCCTCGCGCTCCCTCTCGCTCTCGCTCGCTCTCCCTAAGCGCGCATGCGCAGTGCCCGCGGCGGCTGAGGGAGAGGGAGGAGGAGGAGGGCGGACGATGGCGGCCGCCTCTCTCTGGAAAGGGCTGGTCGGGGTCGGGCTCTTCGCCCTGGCGCACGCCGCCTTCTCCGCCGCGCAGCGTGAGTGACGCGCGCGGGGCCGCTTGCCCGACTGTCCCCTCCGCCCGCGGAGAGCCCCCGGGCCGGAGAAGGGAAGCGGGACGGGGCCCCGGGCCGGTTGGGCCTGAGGGAGGAGCCGTAGCCGCGGCTGGCGGGCGGCTGAGGTGCCTGGGGTGATGGGAGTTGTAGTCCCGGGAGCGTGGAGGGCGCCCAGGCGGTGGCGGAGGCGGCCGGGACGCTGATGGGAGTTGTAGTCCCGGGAGCGGGGTCCTCGGGGTGGGGTCCCTCGCAAACGGGGGGGAGGGGGGCGAGCTCGGGATCTGCTGACTCCCGGGAAGAGGGAGGTGGGGGGAGGGAAGGAAAGGAAGGACTGCCCCCCCCTTAAGGCCAGGAGGACAGATGGGGGGGCAGATGCGAGGGGGGGGCAATATGCAATAGAGAATTGGGGGGGTCCCTGCGGGGGAATTTGTGGAGAGAAGGGGCATGCCCTGCCTCCTCCTCCTCCTCCCCCCGTTATATTTTTAAGACAGGGAAAACGCTTCTCCTGCATTCCCCATCCTGCTCTCCCCCCCCGTCCCATTTTGGCCCAGTTGGGGGAGGGGATACGAAGATGCAAACTTTGCCTCTTCTATTTCAACAGATCGTTCCTATATGCGATTAACGGAGAAGGAAGACGAGACGTTGCCTATAGATGTAAGTGGTTCCCTGCTTTCTGCATGGAGTGCAGACCCCAGAATGGCAGCTTGGACCTCAAGAGTAGCTTAATGATAAAGGAGGAAGCAAACAGAGCTCAAGGCCTGGCTGGATTTGAACTGCTGCCGGCTCTTCATTTTCTTGGCACGCTTGATGGGCTTTGCCAGTTGTAGCCTGTGGCAGGAATGAAACCCTCCACATTTGGCACTTTCCCCTCCCTTAAAAGCATCCCTTGAGTCTAGGAATTCCTTCTTGCCCCCACTTGATATTTTGCTCTGGTTCAACTCCCGGGGTTCTGCAGAGTAAACCACCTGATCCTTCTGGCGTTTGGCTAACATGTCTTCCACCCACTGATCCTGCCCTCATTGCATTCTCTCTTTTTTCTCAGTGTTTTTGATTTTTGTTACTGACTTTGAACTGGTCAGGAGTGCTCACAAAGCCAGATTGCAAACAGTCCAATGCCTTTGCTATAGAAACCTATGTAATAGTTTTAATTGCAGTAAAGATTGTTCATTTACTTTTTCTCACATTAAGGCATAATAAGGCATTCCGTGTCTCAAACCAGATCTTGGTCCACCGTGTTACCCTTTTTCTAACCCTGGTACTTTTGAGCTCAAAAAGGAAAATTACCTTGAATACAGAAGCCTCAACAAGGAACCAAATTATGGTGGAGTGGCTTTCTGAAAACACTCAGCTGTCATTTTTCATCTGTTTATAGATTGTTCTTCAAACTCTGCTGGCCTTTGCAGTTACCTGTTACGGGATTGTTCATATTGCAGGAGAATTTAAAGATATGGACGCTACTTCAGAGCTAAAAAATAAGTATGTTCCTTTCTCTTTCCTCCTCGATTGCTACTACTATAATTGCTTGTCTCCTGGATGTTTTCTTGCTGTTTCAGGCTAAGTAGGAGGGGACTCTCACTCTTCTGCTTCAAACGGGAAAACAAAGTGTTGTTGGCCTAGATGCCAACAAATAATGCTAGGGGAGATAAAAGATTCTGCTCAGTGTCTTCCTCCGAGAGAGGAGGATCATATGGGGCCTCCTCTTGGTGCTTCCCCCCCCCTCAGAATAGTTCTGCCAGGGGAATTGGTTATGGGAGCTATATTGTAGGCACATGCGAGAAGCGCATGTTGAACCTGTGAGGAAAAGACTATTAAGAATGAGCTGACTCAAAGGTTGTTTAGTCAGTGGTGAAAGGGGTGGTGGTAGTGAAGAAGTAGTGCACAGGTCACTTTTCATGAAAAATGGTGACATTTTGACTGGATGGCATGAAACTTTAAACCAGAAAGCCTTCCTTGAATGTAGGGCTGCTGCTATTACTTATTATTCTTGTTTTTCTGAGAACAAGAATTTAGGACATTTTGGAGTGAGTCTCGTGCTGTTGTTTTTCCTCCCCTTTTCCACTAACCCATCCGTCTGGCTTGGCTTCATTTAAGTTCTCAGAATGCGTGAAGCAAAAAAAGCTCATTTGCCAAGTGTGCACTGGCCTCCTAGGCCCTTTTAGGGAGGGTTTGAGGCTGATGGCCTAAGGAATGAAATAACAGCCAGCAGAAGTTTGGGGAAATAACATACTATATCGTGATTAATAGCAAGCCTAAGCTAACGAGTTGAGTTTGCACAGATCTTGAAGCAAGGCCAATTCTGCAATGGTTGTGTAAGTGTCAGAACTTGTCAAGGCTGACAAAGGGCATGGGGAAAATCAGTTGTAGGATTGTACAGTGGGAAGGGATCATAAGGTCCAGCCCTCTGCAGTATGCAAGCAAATTAATTAAACCGTCCTTGAGAGATGGTTCTCCAGCCTCTTAGAACCTCCCATAGGTGGAGAATCCACCATCTCTGTAGGCACGCATGTTCTTGGTCCAAATGTTGCTTAGCGGTGGTCCTGATTTTTTTTTCTCTGCTGCTTGGGATATGGCAGTAATGTTTTATCTTGCTACCACTACTCCCTTGCAGGGGAAGAGACAGGTAAGATTTAAATTACGTGTGACCATGATATTTGTTAATACCAATGTCTAAAATACCAGTGTCTAAAATTCTCTCCGAAATTTTTGTCTGCTTGCCGACTACAGTAACTGTTCTGATTCAATGTTAATTCCATTCTCTCCCGTTTTCCTTTTGTTTTAGGACATTTGACACATTAAGGAACCATCCATCCTTTTATGTATTTAATCACCGGGGCAGAGTGTTATTCCAGTCCCCAGACACTGTCCATTCTTCCTCCAGCCAGGATGCTTTGTCATCCAGCACATCACTGAAGTTGCGAAAACTTGAACCTCTGCACCGTTAAAAAATTTTATAGACGATTCTAAAAATATAGGACACTGAGCTGTAATATTGGAGCTGGATATAAACACTTTTTTAAAAATTTCTGGAGCAGTATTTATATTGATCTTCCAGGCTTTATAGTATGTGTGTGCGTGCATGTGTATCCACACACACATGCACGCACATACATGAATCTATTAAAATATATTAAAAGGTCTTTTGAACACTGGTCATGACAAATTGTGAATTGGCAAACAGTGAAAGTTACTGCTAAAATTATGCAGTGAAATATGCATTTTTCCTTTCATTAAAGCACTATGGTTAACTCACTTCTGAATTATCAAAATCTGTATCACCAAGTGCAGATGATTTTAATAAGCACAGAAAAGGATATGTTGTATTATTTTGTTCAACAGTAAAATAGTTGCGGGTGGCTTGTCTGCTTTGCTGTCTCGTAACTCTCCTTCCACACAATGTGGTAATTCCTGCATCTCGTTTATTGGTGCTCTGTGTGGAATATCTCCCCGCAGAGCCAGTCAAGATTAATCTTTTACAAGTAGGAATTTAGCCAAGATTTTGCCAAAGGGGTATGGACTTGATTATTAGCCATTGACTGCAAGTTCCCCGAAATGCTCAGAGATTATAAAAAGTGTGTGCTTTTTGAGAAGTCACAATGGCCAGGTCAGCTGTAATCCATTCACTTCTGTCATCAAGTTCTTTACTTATATCACGTCGTCGTCATCCATATAGCTTGTAGCCAAGAGGAGCTGGATCGAAAGACTAGGATTCCTTCAGTAAAAAGGCTCAAGTGGATGGAAATGGTAGTCTAAAACATGCAAGGTGACAGGCAGGTGGGGAAGACTGACTTAGGGAGGAAAAAGGTGGTTTGACAGCATGCCAAGTTTGCAGACGGAATAGACTTGGATTGTCTTGCAACGATTTCTTGATTTCGTTTTTTGATAGTGCCTTTTGATTTAGCTCCCACTCATGTGTGCTTTTAAAAACAGGATAAAGGCCGTGTTCTTGTTCGAGCAACTGAACACGTTCAACTCGTTTTTCCACTGTGCTACGTTTTCAAACCTAATTGTATTGGATCACCAGGCTTCTTCCAGATTTACCCACCTTGCAATATTTGGGGTGCTCCAAGTTCCCTTCAGTTCAATAAGTTTGCTCCGAGCTTGATTTTTCACAGAATGTAACCAACCTCAAAATTAGCAACTAGAGATGTAGAGAAGTTGAATGTCTTGTCTTCAAGAGCATTGTTGCCCCGTGCGTTTCCGGGGACGAAAGTCGGACTCCGAGTGGGTGACGAGTCGGATGTGCTCGTGATTAAAATAAAATGCATGCACTTTACAGATCACGGGATAGGATCTTTCCCTTAGATGACAACTACTCCAGGGCAGGAAAACAATGTACAGAAACTGCTTGAACCCAGAATTTTTTTTTTTTATCTTGCCAGAGAAGCCGTGCTCTGGCCAAAGAATCAGAACTCCAGACTTGACTGTGATAGATATTGGCCTTTCAAAACCTGGCATTGGTGCCAGTTGGTTCAATGTTGTGGTCCTTCCTTTGAATTAAGCTCAGCCTTAGCCTTGCATTCTCTTTTTAGGTGAAACTTGTCAGACATCTGTAAGGCGGTTGCGTAGCTCTGTTGGTCATCTTCCTCCTAATATCCTGGTGTTAAAATACCTGCTCAAAAGTAGCTGCCCATTGGCTATTCTGTCTCCCGCTCCTTTCTGGGCGATTGTTTCTTCTAGCAGGTTTTTAATTCAGTTTGGTACCTAATAACATTCTCCAGCCCAAAATTCAAAACAATGAAGTGGGCAGTTAATAGGGTGACATCCAAAACAGCTCTATAAAATACAGTGTTTGCTGTTTTAGTATACGCTGTTCCAAGCTGGGGCCCTTGTTTGTTCTTTCTCCTGACCCTAATCAGAGTCCAGTTTTGCCAAGAACTTGCAAATTTTGCTACAAAATGGCAGTCTTTCTCCAAAGTCAGTCTTTTCGTGCATTTGTTATGGATTTTGCACTCTGTTCAAGCATCTTCTGGGTCTCTTAAACTTGCAAGAAATGAACAGGTTCCCTTTCACTATCCATGGTTATGTTACAAATGTGCAAATTTTGTTTCTTTCCCTTTTTGCTCTTGCAATGTCCAATAAAGAACTAATGTTATTCCAAAACAGAGTAAGAATTATTTTTGCAGATGCAATATTTTTTTACTGGTGGTGTAAACTTGTGAAATGGGGTCTTAAATCTGAAGGATTATGGATTTCTCTGAAGGGAGAGGTGAAAGTACTTAGAAAATAGATTGATCAGTTTTTGGGCTCCTAAACTGGTTCATTATGCGCCTTAGTTCAACAAAAAGGAAAATGACTATGCTTTCAGTTAATACAAGGCTTTGCCACCTCCTGTCTGTCTGGCATCTGTAAATAAGCCCTTAATTACAGTCCCACAATTGAGGTGCGTTAAGGGATCAATGGGCCTAATTCAGGGGAACGTAAAATTGAAAATGCCCGCTTCGAAAAGTTTCCAATATTTCTGAAAACAAAGGCCAAAAACAGCCTTGCTTGATCAATGTATTCTTGGCTGCACTGGATGAAAGTCTAATTCTGAGCTGTTGCACCCCACCTCTGGCAATCACAAGCCAGCTTTCCTCTCCCTGGAGATGCTGCACAAATCATCAGAGCTGGGTTTTATTTTTAGTACTCTCAGGATCATTGTGCTACTTTCTTCCGGTGTCTGCAGGGAAAAATTTGTCTCGATTTAAGGCTGGAACCAGGCCTGCCAATATAATCAATAGTTTTTGCATGCAAGCTGATTTTTTTGCCTGCAGCTGTCAGGTACTTTTGCAGTAAAACCTAGCTGATGCAACACAATCTTTCAATTCTGAGCAACACCTACGTCCAGTTAATTCCTATTATCCTGCGATGAACTACTGGAAGTGACAACCAAATTTAAACATCTGGACTTCCCGAGGACACGATGTTTAATGTTATCCTCGTGACTGAAGTCAGTGGAGCAAAAGCAGACAGTTCTTCAGCCTGTGCTCTAAACAGTGGAAGAAAGGTAATCGTATGTTAGGGGTCCCTCGGCCCACAAGCCGTTCAGAACCGGGCCATGGAAGTGGGCGAGCGTGCGCTGCATCCCCACGGTGTGAGCAGCAGGCGAGTGCACACTCCTTTCGTGTGAGTGATGGATGCACTTGCTAGCCACTTGCGCAAATGGAGCTGTGCGTGTGCACCTGCTTGCCGACTGCTCACACGGAATCATCCCCTCCCCACCCCCCAGTCTGCAAAGCCAGAAAGGTTGGGGGAAATCAGCCTTGATGCTTAGTTTCCAAATTGCAGCTACAAAACTTAACCAGCCAGCTTTCTCCCCCAGGTCCTCAAGATGGATGCAGGCGTGAGCATCCCACAGTCCGGGCTGGTTACACTTGTGAAGTCACCAGACCTGCTGCCTCTTTTACCATCAGCCCAATCGCTTCCTTATCTGGACAAGAGGGGTGGACAGCAGGTTGTCTCCAGTTGTTTGGGATGCCAATTCCCAGTCGTCTGCAACTGGCCAAGGCTGAAGCCTCTGGGGCACATCGCTCCCTTTTTGTTCAGCAAACGCACAAAAAACTCTTTCCCCCAAAGAGCAGATACATTGCTCAGCAAACGCAAGTTGGAGCTGGATGGGACAGGCTGAAGTCTAAAGGGACAACCCTGCTCACCCCGGGACAAAAGTCGCCCGCTTAGGCCTGCTTCAAGGCAGGTGGACGGAGCACCACGGGCAAGACAACCTTGAGGCAGTTCGGTTCAACAATGGGAAAAGCTGGAAGGGAGAGACTCAGGAGGGGCACCGTCTGCTCCTTTCCCTCCCCAACCACATTTTTCACAGACAACTGGAAGGCTAATAAAACCATTCCCCGTTCAGATCAGGCACTCCTTAGAAAAATCATAAAATGATTTTTATTATGTACAAGTGCTCAAAAAATTCTCTCATATATATAGATATATTTATATATATGTATAGATGTTCTATGTACACACACGCACGGCATTTGATATCTCAAAGTAAGGATCTGTTAAACAACACTGTCCAAAATAGCTTCTTCTCGTATGAACATTTAAAAAGTAAAATTCGTGTGGAGGGCGGGGAGGGCAGTTCTTTTTCCTGGCTTTTGTTTCTAAACCCCCAAGTTTCCTTTAAGCGCCTCCAAAGCCAAGTCCACGAGAAGAGTCTCCGTCCTCCTCACCAAGATGAAAGAGAACTGAAGCCTGGACCTGGGGAGCCTCGGACGCGCTTGCAGAACGTCTGCAGACAAAAGAAGAAGAAGAAGAAGAAGAGGAAGACTGAGGTAGGTTGTTTAGTGGCTACCGCAGCAGCCAGCCAGCCAGTCCGTCCGTCCCGGGGCTCTCGAGAGCGTCTCCTCAACCCAGACGAGCGGCGCCTTTCCTCTCAATCCAATTAACCCTGCAACCTCGTGCCTGGGTGGGCTAGCCGCTCTCGCGGGAAAGGTTCACCTTCGTGCCCGTAGCGACAAGACGCACTACCACCACGGAGGGCCTTTCCTCCTCCTCCTCCTCCTCCTTCCTTTTCTTTTGTTTTTAGGACAAAGGATCGCTCCGACACAAGTGCAGAGGTAACGGGGTGCCACTCGCCCCGGTGGCCTACAGCAGCCCTTTAAAGTGTCTTACAGCAAGGGTTCAAATGAGTAAATTCCCATCACCTGCAGGACCAGGGGGCGGACCCGAGTGTCTTTCTTCGGCCCAGGGGCAGATCAGCCCTCCAAAGGTGGGTGGGTGGGGAGGAAGCCACACCTCCTGCGGCAATTTCCTCCAGTGTCCGGCGAAGGAGGTGCGCAAGCGTAAAAACGTCACCCTTCTTCTGAGACGCCAACAGAAAAGCCGCCCGGCTGGCAGGGGCAGCGGCTGCCACATCCTCTTCCATTCCTCCACGACACAGCAAACTCCATCGCCCGGACCCGTCCGTTCCTCTGGCCGGCACGCTATTATTATCTACTGTTGACATGATTAATTCGATTGGGAAGGCTGGTGAACTCTATTTCCTCTAGTATTCTTTCTAAGTGCTGAATTAAGACCCGTTTTTTAAACCTAAAAGAAAAAAGGGGAGGGGGAGGCCGTTTATTAAGGGTGTCACACTCTTCTTCCCCTGTATGTCTAAACAGACAGACAGAGCTTAGTGTTTCTATATATAACGTTCACCGACAGAGGCCAACAGCTTTGATCTCTCGGGAAAGAGCGGAGGTCCACCTGCCCCTTGGAGCCCGACAGAACGGAGCACCTTTTAAATATTTGCAAAATAAGTAAACAAGCCAGGCGGTAAGTAAAGCCTTTCTGTTTTCTTAATACACACCTTGTTGCTTCTTTGATAGCAAATTCAATGAAATATTTTTGAATTTCTACAGGGCCTTGTATTTCTTTTAGGAGAGAGAAGATTTTTTCATAATCTACAATTTCAAAAAAGACAAGAGGGTTAGATTAGGATAGAACTGGAAGACCATCAGAACTTTTTATTCCAACTCGGCCACCAGCCAGCTTACCAAAATTCCCCCCCAGGCAACACTTCTCATTTTCAGTTTCCAGACCATAAAGAATGGCAAGCTACTCCCGCCCGTTCTCCTTCTGTCCTGGGTCTGCGGTCTGAGGACATACACCCACTGCTCCCAGCATTGGCCGAAAAGCAGAATAAAAAAATGTTTAAAAGAAAATGGATAGGAGGCACCTTGAGTTCAACCCCATCTAATCTCATGTTGATTTAGATTAGATTTGCATCACAGAATTGTTTTCTCCTGGTTAGACCCGATTTGGAATAATTATCCGGTTCTAAGCATCATTATCTATTTACTTGGTGTATGATGAGAACGTGACGAACAGAAGTAAACATATCCACGCAATCGAAGCATCATTGTTCAAGAAGGAGCAAAAACAAAGAAGCAGCCCCCAACCTTCTGGGCGCCAGGGACTAGTTTTGTGGAGGGTGGTTTTTCTGTGGACTGGGGGGGGGGATCCTGCACGTGCGTGGATAAGGCTTCGCTCACTTGCCCAGTTCCTGATGGGCCACAGACCAGCCCAGGGATTGGGGAGCCCTGAGTTAAAGGATCTGGAAAAGTTTACCCTACTGAAGAAGAGATGGCTAAGGGGTGATCCAAAAACATTCTTCAAATATCTGAAGGAGAATCACATGGAGAGGAATTTAGGACAGAACCTGCAAGATAAAACTACAAGGTGGTTCAGGCTAACCGTTAGCTGACTGCACAAGCTTCAGCCAGTGGAACAGTTTGGGTACGCCTGTTGCGTTCTCTTCCTGTGGAGCCTCCCGTTAGCCACGTTCTGTGCTAAGCAAGGGCTGGAACTAGCGGCCTTTCAAATCCCTTCCAACTCTTAGGCTTCTAATGTATCACTCTCCGAGAAGAAGCAGTCTTTCTTCTGTTTCTGTTGGGTTTAATGTCCTTTTCCCCCTTGAGTTCCTCCCAACGGCTTAAAACAGGAACTTGGGGGGGGGGGAAGTATTTTTCCGTTTGACAGGTGTTCAGCATACTGGGTGTTTGAGGATATTTTGCAATACTTGTAAGATTCTTTATACTCATTCCAGAAAAGGAATTGCTGATGCTAAAAACTGTTTGTCAAGAGGCTCACCTTGAAGAACCTCAACTTTGCTTCTAGGTGAATGGGTTTACAAGGGGTGCGGACTGGACAACTTAAGAATTTCAGTAATAACGGAGATATAACCCTCCCCGTGCCCTGCCTGCTAAAGCGAACAGATTTTCTTCCCAATTCATTGTTTTGAAGGAGCGATGAAACATACACAGTCCACCCGTGTGTCTCTTAAGAATAACAGAGTTAGAAGGGACCTTGGAGGCCTTCTAGTCCAACCCCTGCTCAGGCAGGAGATCCTATACCATTTCAGACAATTGACTGTCCAAACTCTTGTTAAAAACTTCCAATGATGGAGCAACCACAACCTTTGGAGAAGAGCTGTTCCACTCATTAACTGTTCTGTCAGGAAATTTCTCCTTAGTTCCAGGGTGCTTCTCTCCTTGATTAATTTCCACCCGTTGCTTTTTGTCCTGCCTTCTGGTGCTTTGGAGAATAAATTGATCCCCTTCTTCTTTGTGTCAGCCCCTTAGATATCGGAACACAGTTATCCTGTCTTTCCTAGTTCCTTTTTTTTCCATTAAACTCGACATACCCAATTCCAGCAACCGTTCTTCGTATGTTTTAGCCTCCAGTGTCCCCTAATCATCTTTGCTGCTCTTCTCTGCACTCTTTTTTATAACGTGGCAACCAAAACTGCATGCAATATTCCAAGTGTGGCCTTACTGAGGCATTGTAAGATCATACTTGGAATATTGCATCCAGTTTTGGTCTTTCCAATTACTTACTTCTTCCAGGTTTCCGAACTTCCTTCATAACTTTGATTTTGATAACTTCGTTGTTCCCTTCAAACATATTGGATGTTATTTTCACTGAATTTGGCACAGTTCCAGAAGCTGGCTCCACGAGCAGTTTTTGGTCTTCGGCGGATATACTGTAGTTTAAAGGGCCCCTGACGAGGGAATTGACTACAGGTCTATGGTCCAGTCCATCTTCCCCAACACAATTCAGTTCACCGGTCAAAGAGTCCGTATCGTTTGGCACATCTTCATCCACCACGGCAGCCGGGGATGGAGGAACAAGATGCACCAAAGGTCCATCCCCTGGTTTATCCAGCAGCTGGAAATTCTCGGCTTTCTTTTCACCGTTGCCATCTTGAACCGTATTGCTGTTTGTATCTGTAAAAGAGAAGTCCTGGCACTGAGTTTCAAAAGATGGAAGACACTGAAAGTTCAAGCTACAAAGCTCACAATCACCAACCAAACACGGAATAAAGCTGATGGGACAAACTCTTTAACGAGACACCTTCTTTCAAATGTATAGGAAGCCTGGAATTCAAAATTCATAGCAATACAAAAGTGACAAAATTCCACGCTATGGTACAGGAAGTCTTTGACTTACAACGGTTCATTTAGTGATGGTTCAAAGTTACAACGCCACTGAAAAAAAAATGACTTAGGACTGTTTTTCACACTTATGACCGTTGCAGCATCCCCACAGTTATGTGATTTATATTTGGATGCTTGATAACTGACTCACATTTATGACGGTCGCAGTGTCCCGGGGTTATGTGATCCACTTTTGTGACCTTCTGACAAGCAATGTCAATGGGGAAGCCATATTCACTTAACAACTATGTTACTAATTTAACAACTGCAGTGATTCAGTTAACAAATGGGGTGAGTAAAGTTGTAAAATGCGGCAAAACTCACTTAACAAATGTCTCACTTAGCAACATAAAATTAGGGCTCAATTGTGATCATAAATCAAGGACTACCTGTATTCCCTTTCTTTTAACTGCACCAGGATTTCTGGGGAAAAAACTCAGCAACTGCACAGCAAAGATATCCTCAATGGCGCAGTGGTTAGAACGCAGTACTGCAGGCTACTTCTGCTGACTGCAGGCTGCCAGCAGTTCGATCCTGTCTGACTCAAGGATGACTCAGTCTTCCATCCTTCCGAGGTTGGTAAAATGAGAACCCAGATTGTTGGGGGGCAACAGGCTGGCTGCTTAGAGAGGGCTGGAAAGCATCCCTTAACGACAGCTTATTTGCAAAGTTTATTAATCTGGGTGCCAATTTGGAGATTTTTAAGCCTCAAGTCAAAAGTTCAAGTACCCAAAATCTAGAGAAGCAAGGCCAGCATCAGACAACAACAAGCCAATCAAGGAAGAAAAATATCCCAAATCAACACAAAACTGGTAGGAGAGGCTGTTCTACAGATTTGGACGGCATCCTGAAAAGCTGACCCAGGTAAGTCTCTTTCCCTTCCTTTTGTCCTGCAGAGCACACCTGAATTAGTTGGGCCACCTGCTGGTGAACACAAGAAAGCCCACTGATACACATTTTTTTTCCACGCATAAAAACATAGAGGTGTTTTCATTCAGGAAATGTTACACCTTCAAAAAAGTATCTTCATTAGTATGTACGTGTTTTCCCCCCAAAATAAGACCGGGTCTTATATTAATTTTTGCTCCGAAAGACGCATTAGGGCTTATCTTCCGGTTAGGGCTTATATACGGGGAAATACAGTACTAAATGCGTCCGTCTGGCTGACAATCTTAACTGGGGCTTGTATTACGAGCATCCTGAAAAAATCATGCTAGGGCTTATTTTCCGGTTGGGTCTTATTTTTGGGGAAACATGGTATGTACATGTCTCTCTTGTGGAAGTTCCAAGGAGGGGCCAGGGTGCATCTCCCTGCCTCATCTGCCGCCTGCGACACCCAGGTCTTCTTCTGGGCAAGGAGGGGAGGGTTACAGCCAGGAGGGCATAAAGAACAAAGGATCAAAACTCTTGCATCTGGGCAACTGAGTTTATTTATTTCTTTCGTATTTTGGTGCCGCCCTTCTTGTCTAGAAGCGACTTTATACCTTTATAAGCTGGCGTGGCTTTAGTACTCGGGTTGGATGGGGGCCCGGCAGCCAAGGGAGATCCTTTCCCGCCAACGTGGTTAGCCACCACTGGCGGCGACTGCGGCCGTCTCAAGAGCGGGGACATGCTGCGCCTTCTCTTCAGGGATGCCGGCGTGTTGGGCTCTCCTGGACGTTTGACTTTGTTCTGAGGACCGGCGACGAATTCATCCGCCTCGTCGATCATCATTCCCTGAGAGGAAAAGGACACCATCAGCATCACCCACGAAGGACGACAAGCTGCATCTCCTGCATCAACTCCCCCACCAGGTGAGGATGGGAGAAAGGGGATGGAGCTCAGGGTTGGGCCAGTAAGGATACAGCCCCCCACCCACCCACCCCCTACCTTTTTATCTTGCTTGAAAGGGTTTCCGAAAGTGTGAAGCCTTTTGGGCTGGTCTGGGTCAATTTCTCGAAGGGGAGAAGGCATCATCTTGAGGTATTCCTGGTAGTTCCCCATCTGTGCTACAGGAACACTGTGAAGGCAATCTGCAAGACAAGAGCCAGGTACCTCGTTTGCCAGAATCCGTATTTTCTAACCCTACCCCCCCCCCCAAGAAAAAAAAGCTTATGGCTCCAATAAGAATTTCTCCTTTGGAGAAGAGCTGCATCCAAGAAAACCATGTATTGTTAGCACCTTCAATACCTCTTTCCCAACATGATGCTCCCCAAATGAGGAAGCTCAGTTGCAAACGTCCTAGCCTCAAGCTCCACTATAAAGAAGACCTTCTAAGTCAGGGGTCTTCAAACTTAGCGCTTTTATGACTTGCGCTTGGCTGAGGAATTCTGGGAATTGAAGTCCACAGGTCATAAAAAGGCCAAGTTTGAAGACCCCTGGTCTAAGTGGTTAACTCTTCTGCTGATGAGCACTTACATTGGTGGCTTTTTCAGTGGGCACTTCCTCCCATTTTTAAAATGTCTTGGTCCCCAGATGCTGAAAAATGCAGACTGGGGCTCAAAGCCAGGACTATTTCTGTAGCTGACAGACAGCATCTCAAGTTAGTGAGTGGAAGCTTTCCTTTAAGAGTTGCCTTGATTTACAACTTCCAATATTAAACATTACCTGGGAAAGAAGTCCAAAATGAGGGGGAAAAGAATCCTCATTCTAGAATTCAAACTGTACATAACCCACAATGCCACCCCCCCCCCAAATTACTCCCAGAAACAGGCCTGAGCTCTGAGATAAAGCACCTCCTTTGCAAGCATGTGGCCTTCCGTGTTCAACCCTGGATCAAGGTCTGGGAAAGACCAAACGGAGGCTACCTGGGTCATCTGGAGGCAGACGTAAAGCAACGCCCTGCACTCCAGCCAAGGGATCGTCCCACGCCCAACAAACCACGAGAATCCTTACCTTCATCCTGGCCTAGAATAAACTTGTGTGTTTTCAACAGGTTAGTTCTCATCCGGGTCAGTTGGTCTAAAAGGCTGCGACGAGGAATATCGTAAGCATTGCGGTAGGCCTGTGGTTTTAGATCCTGGGTTTGGGCAAAGAACACAATGGGCTTAAGTCCTGTTTTACTTCTGAAAAGTCAGGAGGCGTCCGCTTCCTTCAGACCGGGCATCCAACTCACCTTATTCAAGAGCCCTATGTGGAAGCCAGCAAATTCCTTCACGTTCATTTCAGGCAGCCTCAGGGGAGAGTCACCAGAAATCCCTTGAAGCAACTGCTTGAAATCCCTGCTCTGGATGAGGGACAGGCCACTGGAGTGACTCTTCACTTTAATGCCCGTCTCTTGCGGGGGCTTCTTACCCACCGACCCTATTATCCGCTCCGACTCTATTTTTGTCTGCAATGAAAATCACAGCGCCCATTAATGACAGCCTCACAGCCCTGCCGACGGTTGTAGCATAAAGCAAAACGCCCGGCACATCGAAAAACAAAGTTTGCCTTCCGAGCATCGGGAGTTTAAATTAAAAACAACAACAACAACAACAACCCTGCTTAAAACGAGTCCTCTCAAGGATTCACAGCATTTTGCTAAAACACCATCACAATCATTTGTCGAGGTTATGCAAGCTTTCAAATTGCACCGTGGGCCTTAAGGGATGACTTAAGACTGCAAAATGGGCGGGAGAAAAGCCAACTGAGACTGTTTTTGCATATAAGGTAAAGGCAGGGGAATGGGAGACGGATTTCCATTGGGCAGAGCAGATCCTCAGTGTTCCTTTATAGTCTGTCCCACTCTACAGCCTCTGCTGCAGATAATCGTGTTTGCCAGGTGGGCTCTGTGCAGCTTAAAAACTTGCATGCCTGGTTTATATTAGTCCCATAAAGGCTACTGCACTGCAAAGGGATTAAAGGTTTGTGCAGAACGGGCCAATACTTCAAAGAACACGGCAAGCAATTTGGAGCATTGACCTAGAACCTCTGTCGAACAAAATTTTGGACAGAACAACCTTCTCACCCAAGATGTCACAGCAACAATTTCACTAGATTCCCCTAAAATACATCCTGGTCTCCTGCCCTTTGGGCTACAGCTCCACTTTAAGCAACTGCACTACAAATCACAGAGCCCTTTGGCCAACATACAGTAAGTGTATGCACTTAAAAGAGAATTTGTATAATTTAAAGAAAGAAAGGGGGAGGGGAGAGAGAGAAAGAGAGAGAGACAGAGAAGGCATTATCCTGAACTCGACTTCTAGAGAATTAACTATTTGGGTTTTGGAAAGACACAGCCATATCCGGCTTCCAAGTATTTTTATAGACTATGTTGGATTTGAGGATTTCTTTCATCACACATTCTGCCTTTCTCATGTAACTACTAGCAAAGGTCATGGCTATCACAGGACAAACAGCAAAATTTAAGTCTACCCTGCCCAAGAGTTGCTTTCTCAAGCCTTTTGTCATGATGTCACTCCAAGTACTGTGCAGCATTGCATCCCACAGAAAACCAAGGAAACGTGTTAAATCTCAGCTACTTCAATCTAGCTGCACCGCTGAGCTTTTTGCCTCCTATGTTCTACAGTAGGTTGGGACCCTGAAGGCCTTCCTTGAATACCTCAAGATATCTGAGTGGAAGGGGAATGGTTTTGGGGTAATTCTTAATATCATCTAGTGGTAGGTAGATGATTTCTTAACCAATTACTCAAGTTATTCAAAACAGCAAAGGGGGAAGATGAGGTTTGTAACAAGCCCATCCCTGCTTCAAAAACAATAGAACGGAGAGGAAGGGAGACACTTTGTGATCAGTTGTTTTGACCTGCAACGTTAAGTTTACTCAACGGGAAGATTTTCCCACTCTATGGGAAGATACCTCCATGCCATTCTTTAAAGCAAGGGTCTCCACTGCTGGCAATTTTATGACTTGTGGACTTGAACTCCCAGAATTCCTCAGCTACCATGAGGCTGGCTGAGGAATTCTGGGAATTGAAGTCCACAAAAGTTGTAAAGTTGCCCAGGTTGGAGACCCCTGCTTTTTAAAGCATTAGGCATCCTTTAGCATTTTCCCCAAACCATGCAACTTTAATTCATAACTCAATAAAACCCAAAGACGTGTACTTCTTAGTATTTCTTACATACTCTAAGAAAGGGATTGTTTGACTGAGGAAATTCACTAGCCTCAGTATTGTGATTTGTCTAGTTTGGTTTTGTTTCTTTAAAAAAACAAAACCCAGTTCCTATGTGGCCTCCAGGTACCAACAGCACAGAACAACTGCTGCTGTTTCAATGCTGACAATGCTAATTATTTACAACCACAGCCCAGCGAGTAATAAACAGCTACACTAAAACTGCTTGTCCTCCTCTATTTCTTGTGCTACGGACCCGGCCACCACCTATTGGAAACAGAGATACAAACAGGCCATTTATCTATCTGAAAAATAATGGGGGGAATGGAGGGGGGGGGAAAGACATTCCTTAGGTGATTTATTTATATAACTCGAGCAACACACACTAAAAAAATAATAATAATTAATGTACTTCTAATTTCAAAGGTTTTGTCGATACTACCTGTTGGCTGAGTTTTTTAAGGTAAGAGATAACACTGTAACTAAGTCCACAATCTAAATTATCTGATATCAGATTTGCAGCTCCCATCATCCTTAGCGCTTTCTTTAATGGCTATAAGGAAAACAAAATACACAAGAGTAAGAAGAGAATCAAATCTTTTTTTCTTTAAAGAAATTGTTTGTTGTTTGTTTGTTTGTTTTGTTTTTTTAAAAAAAGAAGTCTCACAGATCAGTACATGTGAAATTAAGGCACAACAGAGTTGGTGCTCCAATATGCCATTTTTTTAATTATTTTTTTTGAAGCATGGATTCGAAGTCGTACACTCCAGTCGTTTAAGGCATCTCACGGTGGGTGTTCTGGGCCACGGAACCAGCCTGGCACCCCCACCAGTTACAGCGTAGAAGCTGGAGGCCCTGATTGCCGGGATGATGCAAGTCCACAATGAGGCATCTTGCCCAAGCTATCCAGGTAATTTCCATACTGCCCATCTAGTTAATCGGCTTCCCTCCCACCTCTGGCTCTGCCAGGAGTAGGGTTAAATGCTACCATCCCTTGCTTATACGACTAGCAGTAGTAGCCCAGAGATCTGAAGTTAATGGACCCAGCAAGGGCGAAGGGGAGAAGGAAGGAGGGAGGGGCTGGAAAAAAATAAACCCCCCCCAAATCCAATATGCTAGGCAACAATTCCAAAACGTTTTAAGGAGGGAGTACAAAATTGCAAGCATTAAGAACTTCAGAATCCTGGCATGCAAGCCGTTTTACTCAGAAGACATGCGAAAAGATGTTCTCCTGAGGAACATCCGCCAGCAGTTCACTTGGGCCCACAAAAAGGACAAAACTACATACCACTAAATAGTAGGGAGGCATGGTTTTTATGTAGCTGTCCAATGCCTGTCGCCACTTCAGATTTGGCTTAAGTTTGTGAAACTTGAAAAGGTCATCTGCAAAGAGGAGAAACAATGCAAGTTACACACTGGGCATCAACCCTTGGACGTCAAAGTAACACAACTATTTCCTGCTCCATGAGATTATCCCTCAAGAACCGAGATCCAAAGGGATGGGAGTTTCCAAGATCAAATCCCATGTTGGAACTGACAAGATTATTTTTTGTTTCTAAAGACACACAGAATGCTATTATATGCCACAACTCCATCCAGGGTTACCACATAAAAGTAACACATCTTAAGAAAGACAATTTGGCCCAGGTGTGAAGTCACTGGAGCAGGAACAGGACAACCTGAGCTCTAATCCGGCCTTAGGCAGAAGACAACTAGATAAACCTTGGACCATCACTCACTCTCGGCTCTGGGGAAAAGGGGATGATGACAAAACCACTTTCAAAAAATTTGGAAGTGGTTGGACGTGTCTGACACAAAGGCAAGGGGGGAAAAAAAAAAAGAGAGAGAGAGAGAAATTGTGTTACTTAGTTCGAGACCGCTGAGGTAGGCCTGGGCCTGCTTCGAAAACGGTTCAGAAACAGTGCTTCAAAACAGGCTGAAACCCAGCACTTCTTCAAAGCTAGCTTCAAATTTCAGTCTGAAATTATTTTTCAAAGCATGCCATACAGCCTTAAACTGAAGCCAGGGTCTTCCTCAGCTTTCAGTGCAGTGTGTTCCTTGCACCACAACAAGAAGCTGAAACGAATGGGGCTGTGGGAGGGGGGGCACTCCATAAACTGCAGCAACGCTGATTGTTTTAAAATAGGTAACTAAGCAACAGATGGAATTCCTGATAAACTCTTACTCAACTTTCCTGATAGAAAAGGGACCTCAAACAAGCCATCAGGAACGTATTATCTTTGGGAGACACAATTGGTTGGAAATTCTTCTTAGAAAATACAACAGTTACTTAACAAAGCCAATCATCTAAACCCAACTAGCTATCACCCAGACAAGAAGCCTCCATCTCATGCAATCTACAGCCTTCAACCAAGAACTGGGAAGGACAACTTAGAGGAGAGTCTTTGTTTTTACATCTCCATTTAGTATCTCTGCCAATTGGGACAGTAGATATTCTCAATTTTTAATGTAGCAAATTAACAATGCACAAAAAAAGTGGCAAGAAGCAAACAAAATCTGAGGAGTGGCCAGATCAAGTCTATGTAGTTGGAAGCCGATACAGATAAAACAGGAACAATTTATAATGTAGGTTTCTTTACCTACATATATATATTAGAAAAAAATATTACAGAAGAATAGCAAGGAGTTCCTGTTTTCTTTGACCTATAGGAACAGAGCAAGGTCTGAAGCAACAGGAAATCTCTCAAGTAAAATCATATCCCCCCCCAAAAAAGGAGGGGGGGAATAGAATCTCTTATTTACCAGCAATTCTGTCTCCAAAATCACTCTTTCAAAATATACCCCAATACACAATTTAGGGCACAAGAATAAGCAGAAAGTGTTTCTGAAAGGAGAAGGCCGAAAATATACTAATCAACAATCCATCTGAATTTTTGTTCCAAGGAAACAAGAGAGCTCAGAGTGATAAAAAGTTTAGGAAAATACTCAGGACTTAATCAGTAAGTAATTCAGTGTGCTTCTGGATGTATTCCTCAACTGAGGCAAGAAGTAGCACAAGGCATATACACTTCCATTTATCATTCCCCTGTTTGCAAAATTACCCAACCACACACCAAACATCTTGGCTGTGAGTCATGCAGCCTGGAATCTCCACCCTGCTGTTTTAACGTTTAGTCAGCTGGACTGAAAAATAAAGACCTAAAAACAAACGTGTGAAGCGAGGTACAGATGCTGAAAAAGAAATCGGCCTTACATTTGTTTTTGGTTGTGAAAACAAGTGGTTGGCAGAGAAAGTAAAAGGCAGAGCTATCAAACTTGTCAGATGCAACTGAGAGGGTCTAACTAGGTCTCCGTCAAGTTCACTTACAAGGCAGGAAAATCCATGCACTTCTGAACCGCAAGGCCGGGGTTAGAAACGGGGCAGGAGAAGGATGGTTATTGGCCTACACCAGGAGTCGGAGTTAAGGGACAAAGCTGAAATTGGGCTCAGTGACAAGGAGGAAAGCAGAACTGGACAGGCCCACACAGCCCTAGGCGTTTCCTTCCACAGCATTCACAAGTCAGAAACCGATTTTATTCTTCCAAGCAACGGCTAACAAAACGGGATCTGCCATGAGCTCAGCTGATACCTGAAAAAGGACTCACATTCTAAATGTGGGGACAATTTCCACAGGCGAAATACTCCACCATCCGTGTGAGTGATCATCCTCATCCTCACTGGGGCAACTCTGAAGAAGAGGCTATCTGCTTTATACTGGGGGAGGAAGGATGCCTGGGCATCTAGAGGCCATCCAGAGACACTCACGGTCAAACATGGAGCCTGAGTTCAGGTTAAAGCAAAACTGACTCTACCCAGACATTCTGCTTTAGGAACCAAAAACTGTAACGCGGCAAGGCAAGGCAACCTGGGTTTCCTTCCGACCGAAAAGTCGGGATCCAGGCTAAAATAAATCTTGTGAAATAAATCCACCCAGAGATAAGGTGCTTATTTCTTGCAAAAGAAGGGAACAGCAAGCTTGGTTTTCTTTTCTTTTCTTTATTTTTTTTATTTTATTTTTGTCCCCAATCTTATAAACCCTTGGAAATTCTGAGCCCAAGTTCTCAAATGAAAACAAAACACAGGGCTATATACATGCTGCTGCAAGAAATGGAGACACCACAGCCTGAAAGAGGGAAAAGAATGGAGGTTGAACCTTACTCCAATTAAGGAAGAAGCTACGAGTCTAGGAGGTGAGCAGCATCAAACATGCACTGGCAGCAGGTGGCTCTCCTCCTCTGCTGCAGAGAAAAAAAGGGAGAGGGGGTGTAAAAAGCCTCTTCTCCCAACGTAGCAGTTTGCAACACTTGGTTCCCATCCCGTTTAAGAAAACGGCTGGCAAACATACAGCACGGACAAATATAGACAGACAGGACGACCTTCCTACAATCCGGGCCGGGGGCCGGGCAGGGCAGTGCTTACCGAGCAGAGGGAGCAGAACGGGGTAGTTGTAAGGCATCACATAGAGATTGACACAGGTCAGGCTGGTGCTGGCCTTTAAATAACCAAAGGGTTGTCCGAGCTCGCTGTATTTTGCGCTGCTGCTCACAAATACCTCGGGAGGAAGAGAAGGGGAAGGGGGAAAAAATTAGACACACCGGGTGGAACAGAGCGTCACGGTTCACTATTAAAAAATAAGCTGGAAAAGCAGCCAGGTGTGAATGGTCTCTTAAAAGGTACTCCAGGCTGGATGCTTGTGAGATAAAACATTCGCCATATTTTATGCCGAGGTGACTGCTGCGTCGTGTCCTTTGATTTAAATTTCTGATTTTTTTTTTCTAGTGAACCGATAGCAAACTTTCCCAGCACAGTGCATGACACACGGGCTAAACTACAACTCCCCAAACACCCACTCAATGTGGCCACTGATAGCAGGGAGTATTGTGCTCCTCTGCTTCCAAAAAGGATCAGATTGGGAAAGAACATGATATATATTAGAACAAAACTAGCCTGGAGAGTTTGTTTCTCAATCTCTCTTATTTAACAAACAGCACTACCAAAGCATCACTTCATCATGCTAAGATTAGGGCCCCATGGAGCTTTCTAATCATAGCTGGGGCTACAATCTCTTTTATAATATAACCTGACAAACAATTCTCGCATTATCAGTTGTCGTTCATATTAACATGAAAGACAAATACGGCTTTTCCTGAATTCTGGATCCCGAAGAGGGTCTTAATCATTTCTTTTTGCTCTTTTAAACTACATTTCTGGAGAGTTATGTTACAGTGACCAATAAGGCTGAACGGGGAGAGGAGAAGCGGCAGAAGAGTCCCAGGACCAGGTAAAAGACAGGGGAGTGAAAGAAAAAAAAAAGGGAGATAAAAAACATTCTCTCCTCCCCTGCAACCACTATAGGTAGTAAAATGAAGTTTCCTGCCAATCCACTAACATCCTTACCACTCAGCAGCAAGCAATTCCATGCAATTTGGAGTTACCTGTGAAATGCATTATCACAAGAAGCCTGCCAGCTGGGACTGTGAAATTTCAAGAAAGGCTACCACCTGCCTGCTCAGAATAGCATGGCTGGTCCGAATGAAAGCAGCTAGAGGATGCTCTCCCCTTCAAAGTGTTCAATTACAGTAAGAGTAATGAGGATTAAACTGGGGTCCCTCGATGGGTTAACCAAGGGCTGCCCAGCAAAGGACCAGGCTAATGGGATCGGTTTGGCTATTTCCAAACCTTTTTAAATCTGTATGGTTAAGTATCTGAAATACAGATCAGGCAAGTACCTGCCAGCAGACGTGAGACAATTTCCGTTCCAAGATATACTGCGTTAAAGGCGACGGTTCAAGTTCGTACTTGTCAAATGGCAGTTTATCAATCACCATGGGTTCACAATCCACACAGGAGAACCTCACCACCGGATGAGCTGTGCGAGGGGGCTGGAAAGGACGTAACAGCGGAGTCAGAAGTGCTGCAGAAGGTTAAGTCCCAGCCCATTCCAAAAAGTACTTATTGCTAACATTTTTAGCTTAATTCAACATATTCAAAGGTTATTCCAGATTTTTTACAAGGTTCCTAACAAACCTCTATGAACAATTATAAAGTGAAACAGCTCCTCAAGTGTTTTTAGTAGGTTCAAGGTCCATCATAGGGGATGTTTAACTATTTGAAAGACAGGTTTGTAGGACCTCCAGGAGATGGAATGGAGCTGAGAGACAGGACAACTCTAGACCCTTTCAGGCGAGGTTAGAGCCTGTACTAAGAACACCTCCACTAGGATGCTGTCTCAACTACAGGGCACAGAATTCTTAGTATCTTACATACCAGCGTTGGAGAATTCTGATCTGGCCAAAAAGATTCGGGAATTGGCCAATGGCCAACTGGCACGCCTGTTTTAGGGTTTGGACGCACATAGATGAGTTTATGACAGCTGTGCCATGGCTGAGAACCGAAGGAATTGACAGGCCTTGTGGCATCAACCAGTCCATCTAAAATCCAAGGAAAAACAGTACAGTAAGAAACATACAACACGAATAAGCTCTTCAGCACAATGAGCAGTTTTCTCTACACTGGGACCACGCAACAAAATAGGGATTATAAATATTAGCGCGACTTCAGTTTAATATATGGGAGTGGGGGAGCAGCCAGTCAAACTTAATTTGTGTCAGTTCAAAGTATTAGGGGTTTAATGGCCAGATCCCTGTTTGAAGTCAGCAAAGATCCTTCAACCAAGGTCTACTAAGCTAAGGGTCTACACAAAGCTTTAACTGTACCTTCCCCAATGTGAGGAGGATCTGGTCCTGATTTTTCAAAATTAATGACCACACCACTCTGAACCTTCTGAGCAAGGGATTCTAAGCATTGGTTCAACATGCGCTGTGTCCGAACACAATACGAGCGCCCTGGAATAGAAAACAGGGAAACAGGCAGGTTTTAAATCAGGCAAGTTGCGAGAAACATGTTGCAGACTTAAGAACTGCAGGAAGGGGGAAGCTGCACAATTTCATTTAAAGGTACTGAGAAAAAAACTGAACTTGGAACTCTTTCAGAATTAAAGCCGAGGGTAAATTTTATTCCCATCTGATCCCGTTCTGGAAAAAGTTCTATCTGGAAAAGGGAAAGTACGGTGACAAGGGAGTACAATGCTCCCTTGTTGACAGTATGTAGAGGTGGTTTTTAATTCTATAAGAAATGTTTCTAAAGTGGCTCTCCCTAATCATATCTCAAAAGAAAAGTGCTTCTACAGCTGGATGGCAAAGTTTTATACAAAGTGTCTTGAATGTTGATGATGCTTCTTGAAAAACCAAAGACAACATCAGTATTGTGAGTATTAACAACAGGGACCTTTGGATCAATCCAATCTTTGTATTTCTCCCACAGCTTGTTACAGTGAAGTTTGACAAGCGCTTCAAAAGGGCAAGGTTTGCTAGGAGATTAGAAAAGTATAAAATCTTCTTCATAAACTCAACAAGGACTATTGCTTTGGAGCGGCTGTACTAATGTTCCCCAAAAGCCAGCACAGACTGTGGGCAGAGAAAAGCCAAGGCGCGACCCACAAGAGAGATGCATTCTCATCAGCTAAAGTTCAACCTTGTCTGCCCTGGCTAGAATCTCACACGATTTCCAAAATCCTGCGAAAGCTGGCTACCTCCAGTGACTTCACACATCTGTGTGATGGCAGACTCATCTGTGGGAACGCTCCCTAGCTGCTCCGGTTCCACTGAAGGGGCTCCGGGCAAGCGCAGCACAAGGGCAAACAGTCGTTGATCCCAGCGAAACGGTTCTTTGGTTAGCTCGCTACCAGGCAGGGGAGAATTCAGAGGAAGATGGAGCTAGAAAGAAGAAGAGGAACATTTTAGCGAAGAGTCTTCTAGGACTCAACCAGCAAAGGTGACCAAAATCAGTTTTCTTGCTGGGCAAGGCCCACTGAATAGAGACTGGTTTCCAGCACTGGCTGCTCTGGTGAAACTACCAGAGGGTTCCCTGTAGACGAAACACGCGGGGAACCTCAAGCAAGATTTCTCTTTGCAGAGACGTCACACTCATTGTGCACAAAGTTTACGGCACAAGCCTAACATCTCCCCACATATGGCTGGGAGAGTCCTGCTTGAGAAACTGAACCCAGGCAGAGCAGACAATATTCGGCTAAAAGAAACAAGATCTGACTCTCTGGCAGATTCCGACATTCTTGTTTTCTCACTGAGTAGCTTATCTTACAGGTTTGTAACAGCCTGTCCCATCTTTGAGGATCGCAGAAAAAGAGCACCACATGAACAAAATAAACAATCCTGCATTTTTAATAAAATATTTGATTTCTTTATAAGAGAATATGAGCTCAGGAGAGTGTTAACATTTTAACAGCAAACGTGCCACGTTCAGAGCATAGCAATTTAGTAGCCTATCTTACCTCCTCTTGAACACCAGAAGTATTTGTCAGCTTGTTTCCATCTGTGATGGTAATTAAAATTGACGGCTCCAAAAAAAATGGATTCCTCCCCTACAGAAAGGAACAAAATGCCCAAATTAACACCTTCAAAGAGTCGAAGGTGATGCGTTCATGGTTGAACTTAACCAATCAACTGAAATTAACCCAAGAAGAGTCCTCACCCCAAGAAAAGAGGAACAAAAATACTTAATTTTTGTTTCTGGCTAGGTGTTGGAGGGAAAGATTTCAGCCTCCCTGGACAGGGCAAGTGGATTTCCCCATGGAGCCCACAGAATTGATTTTAAGCACACAGGAACTGCTCTGGTCCATTTCACGGAAGAGCTCTAAGCCTTCTTCAGACGATGGAGCGAGGGAATTCAAGGCCAGCATCCATTACCTGCCCGTAGTTGTCTATTCCAGAGACTAATCTGTTGAGGTTCAGCAGGTCAAACGATGATCGAAGCGCCTGCCCGAGGGTGGTCAATCCTGACGCTTGCAGGTTTTTCAGTTCATTCATGAAAGTGGCATGGTTTTCCTTCCATCCAGCCTAAAGAACGAGCAGAGGCCACATTTACTTTGTGACTGCCAAGAAAAAGGGCTTCAAAACAAGTCATTATTGTTGACTGAATAGGAAAGTGTGCAGGGAACAATTCATTCAGGTAAGCATCGAATGAGCTCAGCCACCTGAAGGATTTCACCTCCAGGCCAGCCCTCCACCTTCCCCCAGTTTACTGCGAAGGCAGCCTGGTCCACCCTCCTTTTCTGCCATTTCAGTGGTTGGCAGCAGCTGCAGCAGCAGCATCTTTCAGATCTCATTCCAATCGGTTTAATTTAAGTGAATGGCTACAAAGAGCCTTTGAATCAGCGCTAATCTTTTAGAACTATTACATTTGAATTGCCAAACGTCACTGGGCAGGGAACATCCGCCAAGTAAACAGTCCTAGAATATTTTCACCCCTGGAAAAAACAGTAGTAGAACAGAGGAACTTTCCCAGGTTTTTCTTTTTTCCTGTGGCAAAATTAAGGAACGCAGCCAGTTATACGTAGCCTCAGAATCACTACACATTCTTTCACTCTCCGTGAAAAAGCTCTATCGACATCACCCAATTTCCTCCTTAGCCTCTGCCAGGGTCAGCACGTAAAATATATTTTTTTTTGTACGCAGATATCCACCGGATGGAGAAGCATTTTTTTATTATTCCAGAGCTAAGTTAGTTATCAAATAGATATGAGGTATGACTGCAAACCCACTGTCTCCAAGAAGCATGTCTTCTCAGCATGCCAATCATGAAACTGTTTTAAGCTTTTTTGTTCTCAACTTGCAAAGAAGCTTGAAGTTGCTGTAACATATGCTAGAAGGTGGAAACATTACAAAAGATCGGGGACAAGCTTTTAGTTGCTGCTGTGACCTCATCCTTCCACACCCTACAACTGCAGCTCTGTTTAAGATGCAGAAATCGTGACTGAGGGGCGTGCCTTAAAACTTTGCAATTCCCCGCCACCCAATTTTAATCTTACAAGTTAGGTCTTTGGGCCTAAAACATTTTCCCAATAAAACTCCTGATAAAGGATCTGCTAAGTGAGTAGCAAAATATCCCCAATACGAAGGCAGCTATTAGTGGCTTAACAAAAACTTAATTCACTAACCAAAAGCTACCCAAATAAATGCAGATATATAAATATCAACTTTAAAATTTAGCAGCTTAATAAACCGTTACTCTCTGGAAAGATTGTTTTGGTTTAAATACTAATCAAGTTAATACACTATTAATACTGATCAAGGCAGCAACTTAATACAAAAATGTGTACAATTTCATTTCAACAGCTGGGCAACGCACTGCAAAACATTGATGAAATTAACATAGTTTGCGTTTTTAAACCAGTGTTAACGTTTTAGTATAAGACCCACCCAGCTAAGGAACAACAGCTAGCCAACTGTAGCTGATCTTGAAATGCCAAGTCAGACACGGTTAGCACTTTCCTTGGGGACCACATTAGACCCAAGAGCTGAAAAGTGGCTCTTGAGAACTACTCCAGCTCTAAAATGGTGATACCAAATTACTGCATTTTTCCCCCATGGAACAAGCGTGGCAAACCAAAGCCCGCTTTTGTTAGAGCTATAGAGATATGAAGTGGTGAGATTCAGGTGTTGGGCCACAACATCAGATCAAATTGTGGCTCAAGTTTATTCAAATTTATACAAACACATCTCAGCATATTTATTTGCAGCTATTAAAAATCCAAGTAACCACAGTCTCTTTACTTGCAATATTCTAAATACATCACCTACGTCCAGATATCTGACACCAAGTACACCATATTATGCCAGGGAGGTTACTTGATGCCACACAACCTCAACAGAGGCTGGAAAGGTGATATGAACACAGGACTTCTAGAGAACCAACTTCCCTTTTTCCCTCCTTCCTAGAGCACAAAAAAAAAAGAAGCGACGAATAACCTGCAAAATAATCAAAACCTGAAAAATGTTCTCTCAAAGATTCGGCCTGGACAGATAAAAATTGAATTAATAAATGTATTTGCTCAGTCATGAACGTATGAAGGCAGGATATACTGTAGACCACTCCTGATCCAAGTTTTGGGGTTTGTCTAGTCCAGTGAAAAGAAAGGCCAGGAGGGGACATGATAGGAACGTTACTTGAGGGGCTGCCACAAAGAGGAAGGGGTCAACTTATTTTCCAAAGCACCAGAAGGCAAGACAAGAAGCAACGGATGGAAGCTAATCAAGGAGAGAAGTAACCTAAAAATAAGCAGAAGTTTCCTGACATTTTGAACAATAAACCAGTAGAACTTCTTGCCTCCAGAAGTTGTGAGTGCTCCATCACTGGAGGCTTTTAAGAAGAGACTAGACAGCCATTTGCCTGGAATGGTGACTCAGGAATTCTGGGAGTTGAAGTCCATGAGTCATAAAAGAGCTGAGGTTGCCTACCCCTGGTATAGGGTCTCCTGCTCGAGAAACAGACTAGAAGACCACCAAGGTCCCTTTCAACTCTGTTATTGTTATTCAATGCTAGCTATTTGTCTTTTGTTAGAATCAACTCCTAACAAACTATAATTCACCCTTTTAAACAGAAAAACAGCCCTCTAAATCCACTGCTGCAGCCTGACAAGAACGTCTGTTAGAAGCTGGAGCCCTGCAAATGAAGAGACATCAGGAGTTCCTTCCATCAGAGAAAAATAACCACAGAGGTGTGCCTGAAGAATGGCATACTGAAAAACAAAGAGGGGCTGGCACGATTAAGTTGGCAAATTGCCAGAAAAGGTGCTCTCTTCCCCCCCCCCTTTTATCCCAGAGGGCAACTATGGGGCCTTGTGAAGATTCAGTTTTTATTAGGTCTCAATGCTCCGAACAGTTGTAGCTCTCTAGTAGATCTGGGGTGTCAAACCTTGGTCACTTTAAGAACTGTGGACTTCAACTCCCAGAATTCCCCATGCATGGCTGGCTGGGGAATTCTGGTTGACGTCCACAGGTCTTAAACGTGACCAAGGTTGGACATTCCTGCCCTCGACTAACCAGATGGCACTCAGCAATCAAGCACCACCCCCCCCCCCTCCATTGCCATGGGGAAATTTTTACCCAATGGCTCTTGGTACACGGCGTCCTTTGAAAACTTGCAACGCCAAGTTTTGCAACCTTTCATTAAAAACGCCACACCCCAATGGAGAGACAGACAGGCCGTGGCAGCTGAGTCGAGGAACAATGCAAGCCTTCCACATCATGCCTCCAAAGGGCAGAGAGGGCAGAGCAGAAGGACCTGCTGAAGAGGTATAGGGAGGTGTTGCTCTCTGCAAACAGATTAACATGAACAAAGGATTTAACCCAAGGTAGTCCCTGCCTAAGCCAGCTGGAAAGATTCTACCACGAATCGTGGACAGGAAATTCCGTCTTCTGCTCACCTTTTTAACACACTCACAGGCTGAATCATAAACAACGCTTTAAATAATTTAAACAATATTTAAACTGGACCGTTTGATCCTCTGCAGGCCTTCTCTACAAGCCATCCTCGACTTACAACCATTCGAAGTTATAACAACACTCAAAAAAGTGACTTGGAACCGTTGCGGCATCCCCAGGGTCACGTGATCAACTTTCGGATACTTGGCCACTGACTCATCTTTATGACAGTCGCAGCGTCCCGGTGTCCTGTGATCTTTTTGCGACCTTCTGGCAAGCGAAGTCAATGGGCAAGCTAGATTCCTTTTATAAGGTCATTTTATAAGGCAAAACTCACTTAACTGTCTCACTTAGCAACAGAAATGTTGGGGCTGAATTGTGTTCGTAAGCCAAGGATTACCTCCACCTGCTAGGAATGGTCAGAGAATGGTGGGCTACAACAATTTGTGTGGTTTCTGCTCTTAATGTCCACCCCTAAAGGCCTGTATTTAATAAGTTAGTCCTGATAACATTTCTCTTCACTTGTGGACTAAAGCATTTTGCTGAATTTCCTTCCCTCCTCGTCCAAAATCAGTGATTTGGGAACAACTACTAGAATGAATATACGTGTCTCGGGATAATGCTGCAGGATCCAATCTGGGCCGGTCACTGGTTTGTCTTCCGAGCTTTTGGACGCGTGGTCTGAAGATGGGGTCCGTGGTGACCGGCCCAGATTAGACGCTGCAGAACTGCTAGAAGACAAGACAGTGTATCCCAAAGAACCCATCCGGGCCAGAAGAGCTGCTCCTCCATGATGCTTTCGCCCTGGTTCTGTGTCCCGGTACCCAGGAAGTTGTTTTCAGAACTTATTTTATTAGGGCGAGAGCGATCGGGAAAACTGCACTTGTGACGGAAGGTTTAATGGTCCCCGCAGGCTTAAAACCCCCAGAGAATTCCACATGGCAATGAGGTTGAGAAGAAAAAGGGCTGGCGTTATTTTTTTTTAAAAGAAGGCATAGACAAAGACAGAAGACCATATTCCTAATACCTAAAGATAATTTTTCTGCTCTTCAGGAAACCAACATTTAGTACCGTCCTAGGTGAGATTTAATCTTCTCAAGCAGCAATCAAAGTTAAATGTATGTGCATTAAATTCTTAAGGCAGGCAAAACTGGGCTTTCAGAAAGTCAATATACAGAAAAGTAATGTACAGTTCTCAGACAAATACTGCAGTGTCTTAAGAGGGGGATGAACTGCAGAATATTAGCCTTTTCAGTACCTCCCCCCACACCCTGCTTAGATTTGACAAGATATTTAAAATGTATTCTATCAAGTTAATTTATTTTTATCTTACTACACCAATTCTAGAGTTGCCCTACTTTTATTTTTAGAACTACCCCGGCCAGGTCTTATAAAGGTGCAAGGGATACTGAAATTAACATGTTTTGGCTTGAGTGTCCAGAGATGGCTAAAATTGCTCTCTGCAGACTTTAAGGAATGCCTCTCCAAACACATTTTTCAAAATTAACTCCGTGATGTGAACTTACTCCTGAACTATCACTAATTCCATCAAGGGAGTCCACATGCAATTCCACATCCGAGGACAGCTCGTTCCCAAGTTTTAACAATGGCTCGCAACTCACTATTTCTGATGCCACCACCTTTTCAAGTAGAAAGGCATGTGTTTTTGAGGAGTTATGAAACTCTCCAAATTAAGGCACACGTGAGAGACTTTGTGTTCCTCGAGAAAGAAAACACTGATTCGCCACGAAGGGTTAAAGATATTAAATTCCATTTTCAGCTGCCACTTACATCAAGAGTGTCTTACTCCATTTTGAGGCATAAATGCCTGCAGCTTTAGAAAAAGAAACAGGAAGAGTCATCCTGACCAGAGAGTCGAGAGAACTTTCCGATGACAAGATCCGGAGACGAGCCAGAACAAGTCTTGCCAGCAGCCAGCTCTTCAGAGCAGCAGCAGCAGCAGCAACGGATGACGTAGAAAGATCCGGGGGTGAGAACCAAACCAGTTCAGAGCACCACATACACAACTTTGCATTGACACAATTACATGCAGCCGAATGCAGATGTCTCCACTGTTAACCTTTGCAAAGGCCTTCAGTTGGGTTTCTGGGGATCGGCTGCTTTTACCAACTGTGCGGTTTCTTCCATGGCCCCCTCTATTTCTCTGCCATGAACTGCTAAGGCTCACCTGTAGATATGTTTGTTCTGCGGGACCTGCTTCATTCAACTTTTAAAATTCTGAAGCAGTCCACCAGAAGCACAATGTTCCAAAGGGAAGGGGAAAAAAAAAAAGAACAGAGCTTCAACCAGAGAGAGAAGAAGTTTAAAGACCATGGACTAGTTTTTCATCCAATCTGGAGAGAGCTACAAAAGGATACTTTTGCCATTCAGGCAATGCAAGGCAGAAGGACTACTCAGAAATACTGATATTTTTTCCTGTAGGCATTTTAAAATTCTATCTAACTCTTACAGAGATGTAAAACCACTCAGGGAAACCAATGCAGCCCTGCAATATTGAAGTTCGATTGCTGGGCCGTTCGAAATGTCGGTACAGATTACAGTATTTTTGGCGCAAGCAGATAGTGAATTCAAGAAAATAGATCTGAAGACGGGGAGAGTTGCTTTCCTGCTTTCCAAATGCTTGTTTTATGACATAGGATTGCCCAATAGTTCTAAAAATCCAAATAGCCTTCAAAATACAAGGTGCTCCGTTTCTATTAGAAATGCAAAGACAAAATTCATGCATTAAAAAAATAAATTGAAGAGCAAAACTTACGAGCAGAAGCTAAAAACCTTTTCACCATGTTGAGAATTATTGTCTCAACCCACCAAAATATAGGATGAGTCAATGAGATTGACTTGACTATAGATCTGTTTTGGGGAATTTCTTAGAAGATGAACTCAATGGTGCTTTCTGAGAGTTCAGCGACAAATTAAGACTGATGCGTGGACTGCTATGAATGGAGAGCCTTCCTGTGTCCCACAGGCCAAAGATCATCACATGAGTCAAACAACAAAGGAGGGAACGGTTGGTTCTTCTACAATGTTTCCCATAAGTCTACCATCAGCCATCAATTACACTCCTTTCTAAGGATCACTGGTCTTTATAGACTGTCCAATGTAGCTAAATATTTTCTCTTACTTGGGAAATATCCTAGAAATACTTGGAAGTCATCCTTCTCTTACAGATTAGCTATTGGTGCTACAATAACATTTGCACTCTCAGTCAATTGTTAAGTAGCTGAGGCAGCAATGACCAAAACTTTGAAGGGCAGCCTAAAAACTTAGGAGAATGGCTACAGATTGCATACTTATTGGCTACCTACATTGCCAACCACAAATAAAGCATCTGGTAAGAGTATTTATAGCTCAGGGTTGAGCTGTGGGGCCCTTGGTGGTCTCTGAGCTTGGTTGTTTTCTTGCAGACATTTTACCCAACTAGGTAACATCATCAGTGCTAGCCTTTACGTCTTCTGGTTCACTTCTTTCAGTAACATGGCCGCAGGATCACAACTAATATTTAATTTAGCAGCTAGTTATGACTTTGTTTGTATATTGTGTTCACATTTGGCATTTTCCTTCTAGTTCCACCACCAACAGCACCAGAGACTTTGTTAACAGGCTTTGCAAGAAATTTATTCTCAATCCTAATTACAGGATTGGCAGCCCAATCTGGGACAAAAGTGCCATTTCAGTATCTTTGGCGTGCTGGGAGATCACTAGCAACCTCAATTTAGTAAGAATTGGTGCAAAAAAAACCTTAAAGAGGACTGTTTAAGAACATGGGCAAAAAAAGAGAAGTGTGGCTGAGGTCTTTTCAGTGTTTAAGGGAGCTGATTGTACTTTTTAAGTGTATCTTGTTTCCAGGAAAAATAGAAATGCATCCCTTGGTTTCCTCAGTTCAACTTCAGCCATGGGCTCAGTAGGTGGCCCTGAGCAACTCACTTTTTCTGACTCTCAATCCTTCTTGAAAGATGAAGAACGGCTGTAAAAATAACAACGCAAACAATAGTGAAAACCTCTGAAAACTACAAATATATAACCGTTTCCAGAGTGGCAGGAGTCCCTTTGACTAATTCCAGTCTTATTTTTTGCTGACAAGATAAATACATCATTTTTGAAGAACGATTAAGAAATCAAGAACTCTCAGAGTGTATTTCAAAGAGAGCTACTGAAACGGGCAATTATTCTTGGATACATTTTCAACATGTTTGTGTTAAGGAAATAACAAATAGATGCACAACTGTAACTGAAATTGTAACAGTAGGCAATCCTAGTTGTTTGAAGCAAGTTTTAAGGATACAGAGAAAATTGTTTTCTCTGGAGACAAAGTGAAAAAAGGCAAAAGACATAATCGTCTCTCCTCAGTGATGTCAGTCAAAAATGGAAGCCGAACTTCAACTAATTTCTGACCATTCCCCGATCAGTTCCCAGTAGAAAAGCAAGTGGAACATGCTTCTGCATATTGTTCCAAGAATTAAGGATAAATTGTCAGTTCAGACTGCATTTTCTCTTATTGCATAAGTCCGGAGTTCTAAAATTTTGTAAATGCTACCCAACAATTGTTTTATTCTGGTTCTTTTGAGAATGTGGCCAACAGGCAGTATTGCAGCACTTGAAATCCATTTTTATGAGAACTCTTATTGCAACACTAGCAATCTTAAGCTTTGTATAAGAATGAATGTAAAAATGAGCTCCTAAACAGGGAATCCTTTTCTCAGAAAGAGAAAGCAAACTTTGCAGTTGATCTTTAATCAAGGAAACCGAAAGAAATTCACAATACTTAAGACTGAAGTATGACGAGAACAATTTCTGTTTATGCAGATCAAGGCGGGATCAGCAACAAGGAAATTGAAAATTGGGAGGAGCAGAAACTGAAGAACTTTCCCAGGAACAAACCTGAAGGATGACAGATGTAAGGGGGAAGGAAAGCCACAGAACCACTCTGGGGTCTCCTTCTTCTTCCCTCTATTAATGAATCAGCTGGCTGTCAGAGGAGATGGAGAAGGCCACATGCCTGAAATGCAGTTACTCTCTGGAAGTGAAGGATATGGAAAGGAATTGGAAAGCTTTGAAAAAGTATCTAATCCGGAGCTCCTTTTAAGCAGGATGGGAGACAGATTGTTTGTACAGGTGGCTTGATTGCCATGTAAGGGTAAAACAGGCCCTGTCTGGATACTAATATCTACTATTGATTTAAAATGAAATTTAAAACAGTCATCCTTATTTAGCTCAGAATTTAGGATGGTGGAAGAGAGGGGAAGGGCAGAACTCAAGGCAAAAACTACTTGATAGCATCAAGAAACTGTACCTTCAACCAAGTCGCACAGAAGCCAGATTATGCTTCCAAGCATCTGTAGGGAGTCTTATTAAATGTGCGCTTTTATGACAAAGTGTTGCTGTTCACCAAGCACACAATGAAAGACCACCTTACGGGGAAAAAGAGGTCAGAGAAATTGTGGACTTTTTATCTGCAAGTCAAGCTTTCCCCATCTGAAGCCCTGCAAGTCTTAAGTCACAGCGAGGAGGAGATGCCTTGTAGGGAAGCTCAACGGAGATGCTTGAGGGGAGCAGATGAAGAACCTGTGTTTTGTATGAATACAGCATGGACTCCATGCAGGTATGTGAAGGAAGGAATGCACGATGGTTTGTTTGGTCTAGTGGTTAGGGCACAAGGGCAGAAAGCAGGAGACGGTGAGTTCTAGTCCCCCCCTTAGGTGTGAAAGCCAGCTGGGTGACTCTGAGCCAATCGCCGGGAGAGACGGCAAGTTCTACTCTGCCTTACCCATGAAAGACGGCTGGTTGACTTTGGACCATCCCTCGCTCAGCCCAACCCACCTCGCAGGGTTGTTGTGGGGAGGAGGCAGCGCACTGGAGGTGTTTGCCGCCTTGAGTTATTTATAAAAATAAAGGTGGGATAAAAATAAACGTGTGGGGACACCCAGAGAAGGCAAAGATGAGGGAAGAAAGGGAAGAGCTTTCCCCACGAACTTGGATGCTCCTCTTCCTGGGGTGGCTGGGAGTATAATTATCATTATTATTATTATTATTATTATTATTATTATTATTATTTAGACGGAATCTAGCCCGAAGACACCCCCCCCACCAGGCCAGGCTCCTTCGGCTGGAGGTCACCGCGCTCCTCTCCCGGGGACGGGGGTCGTGTGAACGGCAGCGATCGGGGCGGCAGCCCCCTGCCCGGGGGCGGGAGGGGGGCGAGAGGGGGCGAGGAGGAGGCGGAGGGCCGCCGCGTGGTGCGGGGCGTCCGGCCGGCTCTCCTCCTCTTCCTCCGCCGCCTCCTCCTCCTCCTCCATCTCAGCAGCGCCCTCAGCCGCTCGCTCGCCGCCGCCGCCTCCATACAAAAGCAAAATGTCCGCCGCCATCTTCGCAGGCTGCGCCCCGGGGCCGCCTCGCCGCCCGCCTCGCCCCCCCCCCGCGGAGGGAGGGGGAGGGGAGGGCGGTGGGGAGGGGGCGAGGGGGCTGCCCCCCTCTTCTCCCCCCCCCGCTTACCTTGATGCAATACGGCGCCTCGTCGAAGGTGACCAGCATGTACCTGTCGCCGCGGCTGGCCGGGTCGCGGGCCCGCAGCTGCGGAGAGAGAGAGAGAGGGAGGGAGGGAGGGAGGGGGAGAGCGTGAGTGGGGGCTGAGGCGACACGCGTGCGGGGCCGGTGTACGTGTGAACGTGTTTGGAGGGACACGTCAGGCCCGCCGGGGAAGGAAGGGAGGAAGGCGGGCGGGCGGGCGGGCGCGGGCCCCACCTTCATGAAGAGCTCGACGGCGCCCTTGGCCACGTCCAGGTAGCTGGTGCCCAGATACGCCCGCTGGTTCATGGAGGCGGACGTGTCTATGAGGAAAAGGAGGATCGGCATGGTCCGGGCGAGCCCCGCGGCGACGGGCGAGGGCCCCGGCGGCGGAGGGGCAGCCGCCTCGCCTCCTCCTCCTCCGCGATCCCCCACCGGCTGCGCCGCGCCCGCTCCTGCTGGCCGCCCCTGCCCGCCCCGCCGCCGCCGCTCCGCCTGGGCGACCCTCCGCTCCGGCCGCCGGGAGTCTCTGAGCGGCTCCCAACTTCGCTCGCTCGCTCGCTTTCGCGACGGCGGCGGCGGCGGCCGGGCCCGCCTCTGGGGGGCGGGGCGATCGGTGCACGTGACCGCGGCGGGCGCCTCATTGGCTGCCGATTATGCCCAGATTTGCATAGCGGGGCGGGGGCGCGGACCTCGCTGCGGCAGGGCGGGGAGCCTGAGCGGCGCTCGAGGGCCCGTCGCCTTCGGGAGGGTGGGGGGAGATGATTGGCAGCCGCGGGGGCGGGGCCAGGGGCAACGCGGTGGCCGCTCCTCTCCGCAAAGGGGTCCGGGAGCGGGAGGGAGGCGGACGTGGGTCAGGCTTGGTCGTGGGAATGCCTCCTTCGCAGGGCCCTCCGTGGCAGCATTCTGCAGCTGGGGCCCCTTGTTGCTCCCGCAGGTCTCTAGGGCTTCTCCTCCCGAGTTGGAGGATCCGAAGCTGCAGCCCTCCCCGCAGTTGCGACCCTTCTGCTCCCCGAGAGGCGATCTCCTTGGGGATCGGGCCCTTGGTAGGATCGGGCTGCCAGCGGGGCCCGTCACAGGCCGCATCTGCTGGGGTCTGGAGGCCGGGAGACACACAGACCACGGCTGGGGGCATTTCGGGGGTCTTCGGTTCACACGTGCCAATCCACACTGCCAACCAAGCGAGGCTGGATTCTCATGCCGTGTGAAACACAAACCAAGGGTTAAGTGGGGGGGTCGGTGGTCCAGCATTAGCCCCCCGAGTGCCTGGATCCAGGCTGGGTCAAGTCAAACTCATTGGGACGAGCCGGACACCGACCCGGTTGCCGAGCCGCTCCCGCAGATAGAGAACGAGGCTAAGACGTGGCTATTTCCAAGTAGATCGCTCATTAAAGCCCAAAGCTTCGGCCTTAAGGTGGTTATTTGGAGGCGCTGCCATTCTTACCTCCTTTGTGGGAATGGCTCATTTCCTGTTTTTCCCAGCCTGTTGTTATGCCAGGTCAAACTGGAATTGGCTACGTAAAATAAAGATCCTCCCATTTCTATTAGCAGGTCCTTCCAAATATGAATCCCAGACCCTTCACTCAAACATAATTGCTTTGTAAACATACATGCCAACTGTACTGGAGCAAAGGAAAGAGAAGTGTATCTAGTTTGGGCACCATGTATTCTCAATATCCTGGTTTTTGTTCTGTACACATGGATCTTTCCCATTGGTGAAAGGCCAAGCTGTTTGGGGTGGTGTTAAATAGGTATAAATATATCTTTCCCTGAGCTGGAATGGGGGTAAAACTGGGAGTGATAATAACATGGGGCTCCACCAGTGGAGCAGAGCAACAAAGGGGAAGCTGAGCATTACTCACTTTTCTTCTGATAATTAAGTAGATTACAAAAAACCTAATCCTTATCTGGTATTAAAGCAGCTTCCTTTAGATCTCAGAAAACATACAATGTCTTGTTCTAGGCCTGAATAGAACTTCCCTATCCAGCAAGAACAAGGTGAGAAAAACAAGACATCAAGCGAATAAACTAATGAGCTAAAATTTGGTTAGGGGTATGGATGCTAAATTAAAGTCTGGTTTCTCTTCTATAACACCCACCAGACAGAAAGTAGATAAATGAAAGGCAGCAACTGTGGAGGCCAATCTTACAGTCTTCCTAATCCTTGCCCCCCCCTTCAAAAAAAAACGAGTTAGTGACCTCAAAAAATTATGTAACCTGCTCCACCATTTTGCAGAAAAATAATTGAGAAAAGATTATTGAGAAAAAGAAGGAAAACCATTCAGGTTTTGTTGTTGCCATCACAGAGATGAATAAGCGTTCCCCCAATTTTCTTTTGGCGTTCTCGTTTTTTGAATTGCTTCCGTAGTGCAACAGAATGTCCTCCCTTGGTAGAATCACTTCAGCACTCTAAGGGGAGTGATGATGGTTTAATTACTGTTCGAAGAGCTGCCTTTATGAGATCCGTGCAGCTTTCTCTATAATGGACGTTTTAGCATTGCAGCAGCTTCTTCTGGCTGTTGCAGAGCTGGGTGAAAACTGGGAAGGATCCACATCATGTGCAAAGGGACGCCTATTGCAAACCTTGCATGGGAAACCTTTTTTGCACCGCTGTCTTATTCGTGGCTGGGAATTCTGGGGGTTGGACACCCCTATACTAAGCCAACATGCATTGGTTTGGGGTCCCCTTGGTTAGTGCTGTGAATTGCGGTTGGGCTTGGCAGTTGCGCCCCAGTGTGAAGCCCACGGTGGCTTATTCAAGAAATCCTAGTTAAACCAACCAGGACAGTGCACGAAGCGGGAAGGATCCACTGGGGAAGCCGGATCTCCCGGGGCTTCCCCTGTTTGGCCCGCAAATTTGCAGCCTTGCAAAGGATCCCTCATTCCTCTGATTGCAAGGCCTTTATGGACATTAATGCACGTGTTCGTTTTTCAATAACCGGAGGAGCCCCCCCCCCCGGCCCCATTGTTTGCCTCGGGCGGGTGCAGAGCCGGACCCAAATGAAACCCCCTCCTCTCCCAAAAACAGCCGTTACAAATGACGGCCCGGCCGGCCGAAGGGCGCATGCGCGGCTGGGCGACCGCGCTCCGGAGCCACCGCAGGGAACGGCCTCTGCGTGCGCACGCACGCTCTTGGCATCGGGTGGGAGGGAGAGCGGGAGGGGAAAAAAAGAGAGGAGGCGGTGACGCCAAAGCGTGGGCGACGCGCACGCGCAGTGGCTCCGGGTCGTCCCTCCTTTCCTCTCCCACGCCTCTCGCTGTCCTCCACCTTCCCGGCACCGCTCGGTGGCACGTATGACGTCAAAGGGGCGGGGAAATCGAGACGGGCGAGCCGGCCTGCTGAGGAGAAGGCCCGGGACGGCGGAGCTTCCCTCGGCGGTTGCCCCCCCCCCCCGCAGACGAGTCCGGGACGGCGAGCATGGCCGAGGGGGTGAGCGAGGGCAGCCGACTCCGAGGGGAAGGAAGGGCCAGGAAGGAAGGGGGGGGCTATTGCGGAGGTGTGTGAGCGCATAGACGCGTGTCTGCAAGGGGGATCCGTGTCGGGGTCGCCCTGCTTGGCCCTTCCGCCTGTGCTCAGCCCGACCACGGCTGGCTTCTTGCCTCCCTCGGGGTCAGCCTATGGCAAGGAGGGAAGCCCCCCAACCCCTCCCAGCCCCAGAAGGGGGGAGGGAGGCAGAAATGGGGCTGGTGGAGGGGCGTCCTCAGCCGGTGTGGGAGGAAGAGGACGCCCCCCTGTCATGGCTCTTGCTCGGAGGAGGAGGAGGAGGCTTTGGGGGAGGGGGTCAGTCATTTAAGACTTGGGGGCTCAAAGTTGCTGAAATGGGTCTACCCTTCGGGGGGGGTTCCTCAGGGTTGCCTAAGCTGTGGAGGTCCTTAGCAGGAGCTGAAGGTGTTGCAGCCCTATTTAAGAATAAGGGGGGCGGGGTTTTTTTTTTCCTGAATCTTCACTAGAAGCAGATCCTGGGATTTGATCCGGAGGGGAGGCGCCCGGGGTTCTGGGGGGGCCGTACCTGGAAGCCCCTGCCCCCCCTTTCCTGACCATGGCTCAGCTCTCTGTGCTCTGTGTCCCCCCTCCCGTGCCCCCCATCTCAGGTTTGTCTGAAATAGGACGAGGCTGGATTTGGGAGATGAGAAAAGCATCCAGGTTGATCTGCAACCTCAGTGATTTCCAGGAAGCTGGTTTCCAAGAAGATCCGAATGATTCACAAACGTGGAATCAGAACTAGCCCTGGTCACTTCCTGCCTTTAGTCTTCCCCAGAAAAACATCTCTCCACTCTCTGAAAACGTTAAAGATTGATTGAAGTCAATGGTGTGACCCCCATCCTATTGCTGGACTTTAGTTGATCAGACAAGAATGAAAACTAATTTCAAATTTCTCTCTCTCTCTCTCTCTCTGTAGTTTCTCTTTCTCAGTATATACAGGTAGCCCTCGACTTACCTCCACAATTGACCCCAAAATTTCTGTTGTTAAACGCAACATTTGTTAAGTGAATTTGGCCTCATTTTATGAGCTTTCTTGCGTCAGTTGTTAAGTGAATCACTGCAGTTGGTAAGTTAATAGCCTGGTTGTTAAGTGAAGCTGGCTTCCCCATTGACTTTGCTTGTCAGAAGGTCGCAAAAGGGGATCACGTGACCCTGGGACACTGCAACCGTCATAAATATGAGTCAGTTGTCACGCATCTGCATTTTGATCACATGATCATGGGGAGGCTGGAAAGGTGAAAAACAGGCATAAGTCACTTCTTGTCAGTGCCGTTGTAACTTTGAACAGTCACTAATGAACTGTTGTAAGTCGAAATTACCTGTATATGTACTCTATTCTTTACCTTAAAAGTTAAAATGAAACTTTGGAATTATGTCCTTTCTATACTCTGAATAAGCTTCTTGGGATGGAAAACAAGATATTGCTTCTGAGGGAACTTAAACAATAAAGTTTCTAGGTTAAGACTACACATAAAGTCATTTATCCTGTCTATTATAACAACATGGATGGAACACAGAGGGAAGTTACTTAAGAAAATAAGCTAGAATAGAGCCAGCAAAGGTACACTACTCTGAGTTCTTACAGGAAGAAGATATAGAATAAAATAATAATATAGATGAATACTAGTGATTATCCAAAAACATATAAGCTAGACCTGCAGTGGGATGGCAACATGCGAGCTGCATCTGATAAATTTAAATTATTTATAGATTATCTACTTTCACAGAATGCTTAAGGGGCAAGTCTGTAATGCTTTCCATCTGGATGTTTTTAGAGATTTGCTTCTAGATAAATGAGGTTTTGGTTTTTTAAGTCATGCGAAGGAGAGAGTTGATGTTTTTCTGTAGTGGGATTCAAACTCTCATGTTCTGCTTCCTTGCCATATAGCTCCAGTGTGACTCTGGCTGCCCACAAGCATTTTCTTCCCTCCTGTCTTGGCCAATTCCCCCAAGTTTTTGAGAGGAGCTATATTCCTTGCAGGCATGCCATCAAAAGAATATCCCCCTCTGTGTTGCATTACTACTCAAAAGGTAGTTGCGGGGGGGGGGGGCGTAAAGGGGCTGGACTGTGGCCTACAGTTACAGGCTTAGCAACAGGACCAGTTTGTGTGTGCCCCCTTTCAGTTTGCTGGTGGCTTCCAAGTGTTAGCAGTTCGTAGAAATTACCTCCAACATAGTCACTGAGTGACAGGTTCTGGCAAAGTATTCAGAGATATTGAATCATGTTTGTTTTATTTGTGTATTTATATACAATATATTGGGGGGAGTCTTCTTTCTGTAGGCTGAGCTCTTGTTTGGTGCTCTAAACGTGATTTAAGTCTGCTTCTGGCACAAGGTAGTTTCAGGATTAAAGTCTGACTTCCTTAAAATAGCTTGGATGAGAAAAACACAAACTGCCAATATCCGGCGTGATGCCATTTCAGTAGATTGGTTCACTTTAATTATTAGCTTTTCTTGGAATTCTTTATTTATGCAATACCAGATAGGGTTGTTTTTTCCCCCAATGATCTTGTTGTGTTGTTGTAGGCTGGCAGGCTTCCAGAGCAGACTCACTGGTGTTTCTTTTGTGCTTGAACGAAGCTGTGCCTCCAAATTACCAGGGGCACCTAAAGAATTGAGTCCTAATAATTAGATCTGCTGCTCAAAATAATTGTAGGCTTTACTTTTTCCATCCCCAAACATGAAAAAGTGGTCCCAACTCCTATGCAGGTGTTCAGTAACAGAGCTAGACATGCAGCATCTAAACTTTCAACATGCTGAGGATTTTGTTTCTGCATTTCAATCTACAGACAATATATACGGAACAGCAGCAGTTATATTTGCTGTTTCCTCCCTCTATTTGCAGGCTTATCACAATGCTCTCAGATTCTTAAACCGCTGTGAACAAGAAGTCTTTGGAGACTGAGCTACCCTAAGTGCAGAAGGACCAGGAAGAAGGACTTAGTGCCAATGCAGCAGCAAAAAAGACAACCAGAGTTAGTGGAAGGGAAACTTCCTGTCTTTGTATTTCCTACCGAACTCATATTTTATGCAGATGACCAGGCGACGCACAAGCAGGTGTTGACTCTCTACAATCCCTATGAGTTTGCCTTAAAATTCAAAGGTGGGTATTGAAGCCTGGCTTAGGGGGACCAAATTATACTGAATTTTTAAGTTTATAGAATGTAGGGGAAGGGGAGAAAGCATGAATCGCCAATTTAAAAAGTTCAGTGTGTATATGTGAGTCTTTTGATTGCTGTTAGGGCCTGTTGCTAACCGTTTTCTTTCATTGCAGTTCTGTGTACAACTCCAAATAAATATGTTGTTGTGGATGCTGCTGGCGCTGTGAAGCCTCAGTGCTGCATTGATATGTATGTAAACATTGTTTCTCAGCTTGCTGCATAGTAGCTAGCAATCGCCAAGCCCCATCCCCACACTTCTTTAGTCTCAGTGCTTAGTGGTGCTTGTCCCAATAAATAAAGTTATAGAGCAATCCCTCGAGGCCCTGCGGATAGAAATTGTCTGCTCACGCCCTTGTCCCAAACACTTTAACTTCTATAAAATCTTGTGAATGGTGGGGGCGGAGAAGATTTCTGTGTGTGTGTGTGGAGAATCGGCCTGAAACAGCCACCAGGTTTGCTCCCGTTGCAGAGTGATTCGTCACCGAGACGTCCGACCTTGCCATTATGGAGTGATCGATAAGTTTCGGCTCCAGGTCTCTGAGCAAAGCCAGAGGAAAGCCCTGGGAAGGAAGGAGGTGATTGCTACTCTGCTCCCCACCGCGAAAGAGCAGCAGCAAAAGGAAGAGGAAGAGAAGCGGCTGAAGGAGCATCTGGCCGAAAGTGTATTTCTGGAGCAGACTCTGTGTCAGCCGGGTAATGGAGCCCATTGCATCATTGCCTCAGCCAAAGTGAGGCTTCCTCCCCCACATGGCTTCCATTGCCCTATTGCGCAGTGGAAATGTGCGGGCTAAGATGCCACCAGTGTAGAGGAGGACTCTTGGGGACATGTCACTTCCATAATGAAGTGGCCTTTATGGAAGTAGGCCAGCGCTCTCTCTCTCTCTCTCTCTCTCTCTCTCTCTCTCTCTCTCTCTCTCTCTCTCTCTCTCTCTCTTTCTTTCTTTCTCATAAGCTCACAATCGGAAAAGAAAGGCGGTGGCTTTACCACCACCATCCTTTTTTTTTTTTCCCCTCACTAGTTGGGCACGATGCTGAATTAGATGATAATTTGTAGAGTTTTAACACGGGTGTCCAACCTTAGCCACTTTTAAGATTTGTGGACTTCAGTTCTCAGAATTTGCTGGCTGGGGAATTCTGGGAGTTGAAGTCCACAAGTCATAAAGTGGCCGTGATTGGACAGCCCTGGTCTAACAGGACTACAATAGCAGGTGTAGAATATAATATATAATTTTCTTGCAGTTGGAGTAGCAGTTATAGGCACGAAGAACAATAGAGATTAAAAGGAAAAAAGCTGAAATACTATGCGATTCCGTAATCCTGATTTTTTTTTTCCCCCTGCCTTTTGTTTTTTTCTTTTCCCCAGAAAATAGAATTGCCTCATCAGGGCCTAGTTTACTCACCGTCTTTGTGGGAATCCTGTGCATTGCTGCTCTTATGCTTCCCACATTGGGAGAATTGGATTCCCTGGTGCCTCTCTACCTCCACTTGAGCGTGAATCAGAAGTTAGTAGCTGCTTATGTATTAGGTAGGCACCTTCTGCTTTTGCGTGCGTTACGGGATGTGTGCAACATTCCGGGCTTGTCTGAGAAATGCCATGCAAAAAAGCCAAGTTATAAAATTCCCCAAATAAGAGAGTCCTCGACTTACAACCACAATTGAACCGGAGGTTTGGTTGTTAAGTGGGTCGCCACGTGACTGACTTGATTTTATGACTGTTGTTACGCCAGCGGTTAAATGAATCGCTGGTCATTGAGCAAATCCAGCATATCCAATGAGCGTTTTTTGTGAAAAGTCACAAATTGCGATCCTGTGACTACTGGATGCTACAACCAATCGTAAGTATGATCCGGTTGTGAAGTTCTCAAATGCAATCACGTAATTGGGTGAGGGCAGCGGTCATAAGTTCAAGGACGGGTCATAACTTTGAGTCCATCATTACTTTGAATGGTCATTAAGTAACCAGTTAAGTGAGAACTATTGTCAGTATTGATATATGAGTACAATTTGGCATGTGCCAAATTTCCATAAATATAAATATTGCTTATTATATTATTATTATATTCCACATGTACAATGTAAATTTAAGCTACAACCAACCAATAACATTTCCTTCTTTTTTCAGGTCTCATCACCATGGTTATCCTAAGAACATGATTGATATTTTACTGGGATGCAAAAAGTCTTTTTTTAAAAAGGTGTTATAAATTCACATCATGAATGTGAATTGCCTTTGACTCCCATTGGGCTCATTAAGATGCTATGGAAAACCTATTCAGTGATTTACAGTATGTTTTTTTTTAAGCAATGTTTTAACTATGTTTAACCGAAATGATTCAAGCATTTGGCCATGCTTCCGTTACGGAACAGGTTTCAAATGCTCAATGATGATACCTGTGAAACGAATTTGGAGCAACTTTTATATCTGCATCTACCGTGCAGAATTCTTACGAAAGCATTCTCTTGCTTTTAAAAAAAGTCACGTGCCCATCTGTGTTTGATCATCATGAACCCCAGGAGAGGCGTCGGCAATGTTCATTCATCTTCTCCCCCGTCTCTGTTGCCATTAGCACTAAGTGACTTTGTGTAGCGCTGTCGGTTTTCAAGATGGCAGAACGCTATTCGGAACGGATTACCGGACAGTGAACATTTTATAAAAGGCGGTGGCAGGAGGCATCGTGTTTACGTAGTGATCTAGTTCATTGATACACCCTTCACCAGTGCAAGAACGGGGGCTGTGCTCGCCATTTCTGGCCAGTTTCATGGCCTCCGTTCCTCACCATCTAATTTTCGGCCAAGATGTCCTTCATACTTAATCCATGCCACCTTGGGGGTGGGAGGCAGACTAACATTCCCTTAACTGGTGCCACCAACCTGATTATGCGTCAAAACTTAAGACGGTGCTTCTGTCTACCTTGTGTGCAAGATGTGCTTGGTCTCTTTGCAAAAAAAGCAGAAATTGACTTTGAGAACGAATGCTTTTTCTTGCATCCTTTGTCCCTGGGAAAGAGCGATTGTCCACTTGGCCCCTTGTCTAAGGAAACACTTGTTTTCTTCCTTGGGCCTGGCGGTTCTGTTTTTAACGCCCTCCTTCCTCATCCACCCTCATTTCTTAAAGGTCTAATGCACTTTGACTATGTAAGGAATGTTTTGGAGGATTAAACCTTTGCACCCTCCCTCCGTGTTGTGGATGGCTTCTTTGTGGGCTTGGGAAGAAAGGCTACTCAGCAAAGAACGGGGAAAATTATTCTAGCAGGTTAGCTAGAAGGCACCACAAAAATGGCAGTAACTAGTACGTGTAGACAAATACCAGTAGTCCTCAACTTATGACCTCGAGCCCAAAATTTGTTGTTAAGCGAAACATTTAAGTGAATTTTGCTCCCTTTTATGACTACACGTTAAGTAAATCACAGCAGTTAAATTAGTGACACGGTTGTTAAGTGAATCCAGTTTCCACATTGACTTTGCTTGTCAGAGAGTCACAAAAGGGGATCACGTGACTCTGGGATATTGCAGCCGTCATAAATATGAGTCAGTTGCCAAGTGTCTAAATTTTGATCATGTGACCATGGGGATGCTGCCAAGGTCGTGTGAAAAACAATTATAAGTCACTTTTTTCAGTGCTGTTATAAAGTAGAGGACTACATGTATTCAAACAGGCTGCCATCTTACCAGTTGGGGAATTCTGGGAGTTGAAGTCCATCTTAAAAATGCCAAGGTTGAGAAACAGTGAATTATAGGTACACTGTCTTACATCACCCACGGTGCTCAGTCATAACGTATTAGTATCTGAATGAAGGAGCTGAATCAAGTTCATTGTAGTTATTCTACAAGTAGGGTTGATCGTGTCAAGAATGCAGCAGATGAAGGCATGTTCGCAAGGTCAATTATTGGCACGCAATCGTGATTCGTATTGTGCTTAACCCAGTTTAAGTGCTGATGGAGAATCAAGGCTGCCCATCTGACCTAGAGCTGGGTCAGCCATTTGCAATACTCACAATTGTTTTTGACCACTCATATACACACCGGGTGGTTTAGCAAGAGCAGTGAAATCCTATCCCATGTCCACGCTAGATTGGAACGCCGCGTGAAATTCCTTCACACGAGTTGCTCATGAGATCATGTTTACTCTGATGAAATTGGGTAGCCCAGCTATTTTGTCCCATGGCTTTGTTTACAACTCCAAGGGAGGGGGGGGAAAGGACATTTCCTCAGTGGAGGTTTCTTTTGCAACTGTTTTGAAAAAAATCAGCTGGAGAATTTTCTCGTTTCTAATTTCAGAAGTTTCTTGTAAACAATTCGTGGAGATTGAAGCACAAGCTACACTAACTTGTACTGGATGCAAATCGGTGGCATCTTGCTATGCCTTTTCTTCCAATATGCTCGCCTCAAGAAAGCAAGGTTAGATTCCTTTTGTTCTTGGATGGGAGAGTATCCCATTTGATTCCTTCTTTACAAGTTTGTCTGGATAAGTCCTCTGCCAGAATAATAGAGTTGGGAGGGACCTTGGAGGTCTGCTAGTCCAACTCTCAAGCAGGAGACCTATACCATTCTGGGCAAATAGGTGCCCAGTCTCTTCTTAAAAACCTCCAGTGTTGGATCGCCCACAACTTCTCTAAGCGAGCGATTCCTCTGTTTGCCCAACTCACTCAACCACAACCCTAGATAGTGAACCTGACACCTCGTACATCTTTAATTAAGCTACACAGTTAACAACAAACCAAGAAGATGGCTATTTTAATTTTCTCACAATATAGTAGGCCCACAGAGCGTTACACACATTTTCTTCAACCAGAGTTTGTGGCTGAAGATGTCATGTAAACACAGTCTAAGACCTCAGGCCCACATTTTAAATTAAAAATTTCCATGTAGATGACCAGGCTGAGCCCGAGGGAGGGTCAAGAGCGTCATCAGTCTTGAGTCCCTTCGCACCCACAAGAAATCTGAAGTCCAGCCCACCTTGAATTCCATTGACTCTTATCTACCACCAATTTGCTTGGACCCTTAGTAGTTCAGATTCTTGTAGGAGCATAAGCTTGCAATAAACCTTTATATTCATTTGAACTTCCCTGATTTTCCCACACATTCCATTTTTTAATAGCAAGCATTGATCAAGAGGAAGGTATGTAGTACTGTACCACAGAGATGTTTCAACCAATGGCTTTGTACTCTACAGGTTGGTCAAGAATCAAGATGGTTCTGCAGGTCCACCCTTAACTTTTGCCAAAGAGCAACGTGGGGAGTGCTGTGCTGAAGGCTCAGAAGCAGAAGTGCAGAATAAACTCCCCCAAATACCTCCCAGGGGGTCAGGACATGAGCATGCAGACCTACTGTATGCAGCTCCCCCTGCCCTATCTGGAGGGTGCAACATGATGGAAAATGTTGAGAGGGATCTCATTAAAAGTTATTAAAATCCTTATGATGTGGATATAAATGTATCGGAGTTCTTTTGAAAACATTTAACTGTGGGCAGGGAAGAGTCCCAATAATAGAAAAAGGAAGAAACAGTTTCAAATTTGAGTCAATTTCTTTCACTGCACAAGACACTATGTATCAGAAACTATTATAACATTTTAGCAGAATCCCTAGAAAGCAAAGCAAAGCAAAGCAAAGCAAAACAAATCAGTCCTGGATTTTTTTTTTCTTAAAGAAAAAGAACCAAGGGCTGTCTGGCAAGATTGTGACAGGGTGAAGATGCAAACAAAAAACAGAAAAAGAGCTTTGAATTTTAGGTGGAGGGGACGACCCACCAACCAGAAGGGCAATCTGTTTCAAAAGAGGAAATCCCCATCACCCCCCCCCCCCAGGCCAGCTAATGGGACGTGTAGTCCAAAGTATCTCCTATATGTACACATAACCATAATTTTATTTATTTATTTTTGTATGTATTACATTTTCAGATTTTTGTGTAAAAACAGTGAGCATTTTAAGCAGGGGAACCTGCTCAACTTGAGCAAAAAAAAAAAAAAGCTCTGTTGCAAGAAGGGACCATCCCTATCAACACCCCCCCCACACACACACACACACCCCGGAGGTGGCTGATAGGACTTGTAATCCCAAACATTCCTCAGTAGAAGCCCAAAGTCACCCTCTGGATCTCTCAATCCTAAAAAGCACTGCTGCACAAATGGGCCTTCGCAGGGGTGGGGGAGGCAACCTCCAACCCTATTCCGGCCTCTCATGCATAAGGGGAGACCCGCTGGCTGCCTGATGGATGGGATTTGTAGTCCAAGGGTCCCCGGTGGGGCGAAGCCTTGAGGAGGAGCAGCCGCAGCCGCCTAATCGCCTTCACCTGTGCGGCCGAGGCCCACCCCTCCCGCGCGCCTCGGCCGTCTCCATGGCAACCGGTCCGCGAGCCGGGGAAATAGCCGAGCGATCGCACCTGTGTTTGCGCGCGAGCGAGCGAGCGCGCGCCTTTCCCGCCCAGCGCCCTCGGACCGCCTCGCGGGCTCTTTTCTGCCCATCTCGCCCGTTGATTGGCTGTTCCGAAAACGCGTTCCTTCGGATTGGCTGAGCGGTCTCTCCCTTCTCCGAGAGGCGGGAACATTTAAAAAGTCGCCGGGCTCCTCGTGCCGAGTGCAAAAAAAGCAAAGCGAGCGCGCTGCAGAGGCAGCGGACGCCGCTATCGCGTCCCTCGGTTCCCGAAAGGGACGACGGTGCGGGGCGCCGGGGGGGGGGGGCAAAAATGTCTCTCTCCGGTGCTCCCGCGGCCCAAGTCCTCGAGCTCGAGGCCGGGCAGGGCCTTTTGAGCTTTCAGGTAATTCTAGCGGAGACTTTTCTACGTCGTAAGATACGGCGGGGACCGCGAGTTCTTTAGCTAATTAATAGCTTATTGTTCTCGGGGAGTCAGGATAGCACCTGTGGTAATTTTAAGCACGGCGTGTATTCTTTGGAGTAAAAATGCCAGGGGTGGCGGAGATATCTCAAGGGTGCTTTATTCAAAAGACGCCAATCCCACAGGTCACTAAAGATACTTATCTCAAACCACCACAGGTGAATAGGAGTTAGCTTTAAAGGTAAAATTGCCTCAGGAACTGACTTTCCTCTTAGGAATAAAGGGAATTCTTGGGGTAATTTTAGCAAAGAATTCAAGTTCTTAAGAGTAAAATTTTGGTCGAACCTGAGGTTATCTCAGCTATGTCCTTTTAAAAAGGACCAAACCACCATAGATGAATAAGTGTTAAAATTAGCTTTGGAGTAAATGTGAGATAATCTTAGCCATGTCTTTGCAGTAAGGTGAGGCAATTTTAGCCAGGTGTAGTTAAAAGGTGAACAAGCATTAAAATTAGCTTAAAGGCAAAATGGCTTCAGTCCCTGGAGTTGCCCTTTCTTGAATAAAGTCACCTCTTGGGACCTGAGGAATTTTAGTCAAGACTCAAATCCTTAAAAGAAGGAAAACATGTAGAGGACTAGTAGCTTCAAGTAACTAAAGGCAAAAGTTAACTAAAATTACTTCAGGTCCTGGAGTTGACCTATCTTGAAATAAAGTCAGCTCTTGAAGTAATCTTAAGGTAATTTTAGCCAAGGTGCACATTTTAAAATATTGGTGGAATCAGAGGCAATTTCAGCCATGTCCTTTTAGATACAGTGTTTCTCAACCTTGGCAACTTTACGATGTGTGGACTTCAACTCCCAAAATTCTACAGCTAGCAACACTAGCTGGAGAATTCTGGGAGTTGAAGTCCACACATCGTAAAGTTGCCAAGGTTGAAAAACACTGAAGGACCAAACAACCATAGGCAAGTGAGAATTAAAAATAGTTTTAAAGGTAAAGATAAAATTACTCAGGAGCTAACCTTGCTCTCAGAAATAAAGTGATTTCTTGGGACCTGAAGTAACTTTAATCGGCTCAAGTTCTTAAAAGAAGCAAAATATGAGGACTACCTACTTCAAGTAACTAAACAAAAAAGTTAACTAAAATTACTTCAGGTCAGGCAATTGGACATATTTTCTTAAAATAAAGTCAATACGGGAGGCCTGAGGTAATTTTAGCCAAGGCTCAAGTTGTTAAGAGCCGTGGTGGCGAACCTATGGCACGCGTGCCACAGGTGGCATGCAGAGCCCTCTCTGGTCACACGTGCCGTCGCCCCAGTCCTAGGCCTTCAGCTGGGTTTTATAAAACCTTTTTGCTTTAGGCCTCTACCACCGTGTGCAAAAAAAAAAAGTTCAATCAATTTC